TGGCCACGCGGTCCACCGCAACGCCTTCCCACAGTGAAGTGGAGCGGACTTTTCAAATGCCAAAAGCCCAGAAGTAAATGTTTCCATTTTCGAATGCCTCAGAAGTCAAACGGCTTCCGCTGAGTCCCGCCCCCCAATTTTCTCCAATGAATTTGCAGACCGCCCTTTGCACCTTGGTTTTCAAACGTTTCAGAAGTTGAACGGTCTTCCAGAATGAACTACATTCAAAAACCAAGGTACCACTGTACAGATAAAAGAGGTTTGGCTTGGGCATGGGGCAATCAAAATACTTCCGGCCCACCCACCAGAAGTGATGCATAGGTCAATCCAGGCGGGGGTTCCTAAGACTTATATCAACTAAGATCCCTTTAATGGGATACCCCAGCGTTTGGAGGAGTAGGCAGAGACTACAACCTCCCCTTCATCCAAGACAAAGGATTGCCCCAATGCCCAACCCAGTTGTGATGATTGCTATAAGGTAGGAAAAACCACCAGGTTGGAGCCAATTTGCCTGGTGCATAAATTTCTACCCAGTCCCATAAAATGGTGACCACTGTAGCCACAGCTACTTGACCATCAGCTTGAACCAAGGGGGTGTGTGTGGAGCTCAACGAAGGAAAAGCAGGTGGGGCCCCAGGTGAGGGCTGTTGAAATACCCAGGTAGTGGACCTGAGGGAAGCCTTCCTGCTCCGTCAGCTCCAGCCCCCTGGCCCCGTCCGTGTCCCAGCCTGCGCCCCCATTTGCCAATCCATGATGCAGGCCAGGATCTGACTCCTGATAGGTGTCAATAGGCTTATTGAATATTACTTTATTTGATATAACTTGCTTATTTTAAAGTTATGTTTTATTATCACATATTTGTATTGGATTAGATTGTTATAAGTTGTACATTCTGTTTCTTCAGCTTGTAAACTGCCTTGGATATTGTAAAATAGAAAGACGGTATACAAATTAAAAGTGATGATGATGATTTATAAACCTTTTCCTCAATTTTGCCGGTATTCCCCTCCTTCAAATCCTCCCCCCCCCTTTCTGTCAAATAAAGCATTTTTCTTTCCTCCCTCCCTGCACTGCCCATTTCCTCAATTTATTCTATCTCTATTTTTATAATTGTATACAAGTATTCTTTTGTAATTGTAGCCAAGTGTTGTGTGTGTGTGTGTGTGTTTTGCTGTGGATGTGTGTATATGAGTGTGGAAGCCTTTTTCTCTGCCAGCGTTCAGTCCTACAGTCCTGCTATAACAAACAAGCAGTTTATTTTCCTTTTTTGCTTTGTGTTTTTGGTTATAGATTGCCTCAATAAGAACCTTGTGGTTGGTATTGAAGGAAAAGATGTACTTCTGCAGCCGGTACAGTGGTACCTCGGGTTACAGACACTTCAGATTACAGACTCCGCTAACCCAGAAATAGTATCTCGGGTTAAGAACTTTGCTTCAGGATGAGAACATAAATCGCATGGCGGTGGCGGGAGGCCCCATTAGCTAAAGTGGTGTCTCAGGTTAAGAACAGTTTCAGGTTAAGAACAGACCTCCGGAACGAATTAAGTACGTAACCAGAGGTACCACTGTATTTAAAAGCACATTAGTCAAGTTTTTTTTGGGGGGGGGAGGAGGAAATATAGTGGCTGAAAGCGAAGATGAAGGCCGCAGATACTATTCACCTTTGAAGGACAGAGCAATTATTGACATGGAATCTGGCAATTTGACCATTAGAAAGGTATCTCAGAATGATAATGGAACGTACACTGCGGAAGTCTTAGTTGGTCATGAATACCAGTTCACACATTTCTGGCTGCAAATAATACGTAAGTAGCAACATGCAAGAATAAGAGTAACTACAAGTTATTTTAATTGTTCAAGAATACAGATTTCAGAAGAAAAACAATAGTAAAGAATATTTGTAACAGCTTCCAAAGGGACAACTCTGTCAGCTTCCAGTTGCAAAAGCAAGCAAGCAAACAAAAAACCAGCAAAAAACCCCAAAACCTTCCCCCGGTGACTCCAGTCTGCCCCTTGCTATTTTGCCTGATGGAAGTATACAGGGTGATTGTAATGTAATTACTCCCCTCTAGGTTTTTAATGTACCTCTGGGGTTTGATGTATGGTTTGTTTGTTTTTTTGTTCATCTGTTTGTTTGTAAACTGCTTTGGGTTGCCCTAGGCAAGATTAAGCGACTAACAAATATAATAAATAATAATAATAATGTTAATCAATCACTGATTTTGTTTCTCTTCCTTGCACGCCTCCACTTACAGCCCCTCCAGCCTTGCTCTTGCCAGATAATACTTGAAAGGGAATAGAGCCCAGGACCTTGGACCTTTCCAGTCGAGCTCCTAAAATTGCAGATCCCCTTGACATCTCTTCCTCAGTTGCTTGATTAATGCAGATTAAGATGGTGGCTCAACTTTGAGGCTGCCTTCTTTTGCAAGAGCCCCCACAGACACTCTTTTTAAACAAAATATTTTTTTTAATTTGATTTTAGAAATATAAGGTTATAAAAATCCAAATATAAATCCATAGACAGAGATTGCACTGAATCTCATGACTCCCCCCCCCATGGAGCCCCATTTTAAACATTTACGACTGCATATTCTTCCATACTCTAACTTTTAAATCACTCCATATTGTCCATAGTATTTGTTACACTACAAGTGCACTCAAAATCCTGCCAACGTTTCCATTTGCTTACAGTGGTCACTTAGATAACTTATAAAATTTTCCCATTCTTTTGTAAAGTCTTTATCTTCTTGGTTCCTGAGTTTTCCAGTCAGCTTTGCCATTTGGCATAGTCCATCGGCCTGGTTTGCCATTCCTCTATGGTAGCGGTCCTGCCTTCTTCCCATCTCTGGGTTAGTAACATCTGAGCAGCTATTGTTCTATACATAAAAATACTTTTTCTGGTCCTTTGGAATGGGAATTTGTAATTCCTAATGAAAAAGCATCTGGATTTTTCACAAAAGTTATCTTAAACTTAATTTTTTTCCATTTTATTATAAATTGTCTCCCAGAAAGGTTTTATCACCTTACAAGTCCACCGCAAATGGTAAAAGGTGCCTTCTTCTTTTTTACATTTCCAGCAGAAATTTGTACTTGTCCTATACATTTTTGCCAACTTAGTAGACATTAAATACCACCAGCACATCATTTTCATATAGTTTTCTTTCAGTGTACAACATGCCGTAAATGTCACATTTGTTTTCCAGAACCTTTCCCAATCTGCCATTTGAATATTATGTCCCAGATCCTTTGTCCAGTGAATCATTACACTTACTTGACCTGTTCATCTTTTGTGTGCCATTCTAAAAGCAAACTATACATTTTCGACAGTAGCTAACATTATTTTCTAGTAAATCTTTTTGAAATCTCGATATCTCATGACTAAAACCTATTCAGTATCTGAGACTTAGCTCCGGCTGCCATTGCCAAATGAAGCTCAGCAAGATCTGCTAGGAGCAAAATGTTTCCAGCAGAGGCACCAGCTTCATGGGATGGCTTCCTCAGCTAGGCCCGGCGAGCCCTCACACCCTGTTACTTTGGCCTGTTCAGAAAGCCTTCAGTCAATTCAGTTCTGATTTTAACCCGATAATTTGTAATGCCATTGGTTATGAGAATTTATTGCCCTCTGTTGCCGCTATAAAGGTAAAGGTAAAGGGACCCCTGACCATTAGGTCCAGTCGTGACCAACTCTGGGGTTGTGGCGCTCATCTCGCTTTACTGGCCGAGGGAGCCGGCCTACAGCTTCCGGGTCATGTGGCCAGCATGACTAAGCCGCTTCTGACTAACCAGAGCAGCGCATGGAAATGCCGTTTACCTTCCCGCCGGAGCGGTACCTATTTATCTACTTGCACTTTGACATGCTTTCGAACGCTAGGTGGGCAGGAGCTGGGACCGAGCAACGGGAGCTCACTCCGTTGTGGGGATTCGAACCGCCGACCTTCTGATCGGCGAGTCCTAGGCTCTGTGGTTTAACCCACAGCGCTACCCGCATCCCTGTTGCTGCTATAGAACTGTAGCTTATTACTGTGATTTTTGAGTTCTATTATCTGTTACCACAGTGATGATGTTATTTCACACCCTCCAACTGTCCCTATTTTCCAGGGACAGTCCCAAATTTGCAGAAGCCACCCCAGTTTCCGATTTGATCCCAGAATGTCTCGCTTTTCCTTAGGACGTCCCTATTCTCATAAAAGAAATGTTGGAGAGTATGGAGTTAAGTAACCCCCGAGCCAAGGAGATAAGTAACTATACAACTTTTGGAAGACACCTCAAGGCAGCCCTGTATAGGGAAGTTTTTAATGTTTAATGTTTTATGATGCTTTTATATGTGTGGAAGCTACCCAGAGTAACTAGGGCAACCCAGTCAGATGGGCAGGTTATAAATAATAAAATTGTTGTTGTTATGGAAAAGGATGTCCCTGTTTTCATTGGAGAAATGTTGGAGGGGATGTGATTTTATGAGCCACTTTGGATTTGTCATCAAATAAGGAGAAGTGGGACATGGATGAAATAAATATAATAGATGCACCATACATGCCTTCTCCTGGGAACACATAATTCCTGAGAGAGCCATTATAAATACAGTTTGAGATTCAAGGTGGGATTCAGCTAATGAGTCCCATCAGCAGAAGCCCATACAAGGCCACCCCCCATCTTCCTACCATGTGGCCCCCCCAAAAAAAATTGACTCTGGGGAGACTGGGAGAACTACCAGCACAATACACAGAAGAAAGAGAAGTAAGGTCATTCAATCAGGCAACCCAAATTGCTTGTGCTGACAGAGTAATCTGCTCCCATAGTAAAAACTATGAGATTCTATAATAATATGTCAGTAGGGAAGAAAATGTCTGCACACTTTTCAACACAGATAGACACAAAACTCTTTTCATTCCTGTCACATTGGCTTGATGGCCAAATCCAGCTCTGCCATAATTTTTTGTTTCTGGAGTATTTGAAATACTCTAATCATCAAATAGCAAAGAAACTCACAACAGCAAAAGAGAGTTTTGCAAATGGTTATAGCAACTAGAAATAATTTTATTCTATAAACGAGACATTCAAAATACAGTTCTGAAAGTCGGAAAGATGTGGAGTGAGATCCCAGCCAAAAAAAATTCAACCCAATGTAATATTTTCAGGAGATTTTCTGGAATGGTGATTTTTCTGAACCACATCAGACACAGGGATATAGCTTCTGATCTTCCTGCTGAAATAAAAAAATGACATTTAAGAAATGGACATAGGAATCAGTAAGTTGAAAATGTGATTTTAAGTCTTAGCTGCGTCAACGTGTTTAAATGGGCCATGGAGCCATTTCTCCTACCCTCTATAAGGGGGAATAGCAAAAGTTGCAGTTGTTTATTTCATACAATCTATATGCCATTTTATTATTTAAAAAACTCCACAATTTCAGTGGTAGAATACATCTAGCAATAGGGAAAAAAGGCCATAATACTGTAGTAGAAAAAATGCAGCAAAAAACTTTATTACGGTTACAGACTGGCATAAGATACAAACATACAAATAAAATAAACTACATAAGAATTAAAAAGGAGAGGGATCAAGACACCTAGCTGTACTCCTTAATTTTTATTCTCTACTGCGCTGTCTGCATATCCTTATTTTTTGGCCTTGTTTTTATTGCACGGTGAAAAGTTTATATGCTGTAAGCCACCCTGAACACTGTATTTTTCAGAGCAATGGTGGGAAACACATTCATCTAACTACGGTAAATAAAATTATCCTTGCTGGGAGTGCCTCAAAGCAAGAGGCAACTCTAATCCACCACCAGTGGCATAGCGGGGGGGGGGCACAGGGGCGGTTGCCCTGGGCACAGAATTGTTAGGGGTGCAAAATTTCAACCCCTGTTGCTTCTTCAATACAGCTGCATGTTTCCGTTGCTGGGCTCCATTGAAAATGGCTTTTGCATGAGAATCAGGAAGTGACGTCTCCAGACAATGGAATAACTCTTCATTCTTATCTCTGTGGCTGTGATCTCTTGGGTGATGTGGCTGCCGTTAGGCAGTTGGATGTGCATGCATACTCTGTCCGTTTCCCACCTACCCTCTCTACCTGGCCCCAGGCACTGGCAACCCATGCTACACCACTGTCCACAATAGCTCTTCTTTATCATTGCAATTTTTGCTTTTCTTTGTTCTATTAGCGCCTGCATAGCTAGCAGCCCTTCCTTTGACTTACCTTCCTCTTTGTTCGGGCTCAAGCTGATTCTTGGTGGCATGGTGTGTTATATTCACTATGGGCAGCTATATCTATAGGAGGGACAGGAGAGAGCACAGCATTAGATGTTGCATGGATCCACATTTTCTCTTTCAGGTGTTCAGAAAAGAGTAAAGGTAAAGGTAAAGGGACCCGTGACAATTAGGTCCAGTCGTGGCCGACTCTGGGGTTGCGGCGCTCATCTCGCTTTATTGGCCGAGGGAGCTGGCGTACAGCTTCTGGGTCATGTGGCCAGCATGACTAAGCCGCTTCTGGTGAACCAGAGCAGCGCACAGAAACGCCGTTTACCTTCCCGCTGGAGTGGTACCTACTTATCTACTTGCACTTTGATGTGCTTTCGAGCTGCTAGGTTGGCAGGAGCTGGGACAGAGCAACGGAAGCTCACCCCGTTGCGGGGATTCGAACCGCCGACCTTCTGATCAGCAAGCCCTAGGCTCTGTGGTTTAACCCACAGTGCCACCCGTGTCCCTTCAGAAAAGAGTACTAGCTTCAATTTTAGAAGAGACAATTGAAATATCAACACAAACATGGGACACTCATTTCCTATAGGATACTTGTTGAAGGAAGCGGCAGTAAAATTTATGGCAGTTCTAGTGATGAAACTACATGGGCTTCTGGGAACTATGAAATCAAAGTACACAAAATACACCTAAACTGTGAGAGCAAGTCTCCTACCTGTTTCATAATAATCAAACATTCGAACTGCAGCTGGTTTGCTTTTGGACACAGGATGGGATTCTTCTAGAGTTAATGTCAAGGTAATCTCCTTTGATGATACCTGAGCACAGGAAGAAAGAAAATATCAGTGACAGTTTATGAGAGGGAGATCTTTTGCAGGTTTGTTGTAATGATGCAACTTCAGGCAAACTTACACTCTCCAGATATAAGAAGACATGGTCATTTCTGGTTTCGGTACGCATCACCTTGCCCAGGAGCTGTACAATAAAAGCAAGGAGAGAAAGATACTTTTGCTTTCAGGAAAGGGATGAATCATAACAAAGTGAATAAGAATAGTTCAGGCAGATTTATAGCAATCAGGTCATAAAAAACAGCCAGAGACTCTGCAAACATTACTGAACCTGGCAAGCTCTTCCTTTTGGACCAATTCCATACAGAAATCTCAAACCTTCTTGCTGTGAGCCTCTGCCCCATGGCTCATGGCTTCCTTTTTCAGTTCTGCACTTTACTGTGGCTGCTGGCATGCAGACGCTCTATGTATTTGGGTGGGTGCCATAGGCAACAAACAAGATTGCAGATTTACCAGTGCCACTTCTGTGTGAAAAGAAAAGTGATCGCGCCTTGGAAAGCGGTAACAGACTTTGGCCTGTTGCTCTGCAGCTTCAGAAATGATGAACTAAGGCTGGAGGATTACTAGCCTGATTAATGTATGGATTTCCTATGACATCATTTACGATGACACTTTTTAAGCCAGGCATTTATGGAAGTGAGAGCTGGACCATAAAGAAGGTTGAAGAATTGATGCTTTTGAATTATGGTGCTGGAGGAGACTCTTGAGAGTCCCATGGACTGCAAGAAGATCCAACCTATCCATTCTGAAGGAAATCAGCCCTGAGTGCTCACTGGAAGGACAGATCCTGAAGCTGAGGCTCCAATACTTTGACCACCTCATGAGAAGAGAAGACTCCCTGGAAAAGACCCTGATGTTGGGAAAGATGGAGGGCACAAGGAGAAGGGGATGACAGAGGACGAGATGGTGGGACAGTGTTTTCGAAGCTACCAGCATGAGTTTGACTAAACTGCAGGAGGCAGTGGAAGACAGGAGTGCCTGGCGTGCTCTGGTCCATGGGGTCACGAAGAGTTGGACACGACTAAACGACTAAACAACAATTATTTTACTTCATCCAGCCATTTTCTCCTAGGGTGCCTCATTCACTTTTTTCTAAATCTTACCTGCTCTAGGGATGATGAGACAGGGACAAAACCAGACAGCATTTTGATGTCAATGATAGCCATGTTGGATGCGTTGCGCTCTCCAGTGTATCTTGAAACAAGAAAAAAAAGGGTGTCATTTTGTATTCTGACTGAGCAAACTGAGTCAAAAGCAAACTGAGAAGATACTTCAAAGAGCTCTTTTAGGATATAGTACACACTGTCTTACATAGTTCATTAAAGGCCAAACAATACATTGCTTTAATTGTGTTGACATTTCTCTCTCTCTCTCTCTCTCTCTCTCATCTATCATCTATCTATCTATCTATCTATCTATCTATCTATCTATCTATCTATCATCATCTATTCTTTTAATTATAGGCAGTGAAGGAGGAAGTATCACCAGGACTTCAGCATGTAGAGAGGGAAGGTTTAACTTTGCACTCCCCAGTTGCAATTCCACAAAAAATGCCACCTGCATGTGGTTATGTAGCATAGAAAAAACAAACAACAATTCTCACTGCTGCCACTGGGAACTTTTTTCTGAGCTGCATAGCAGAAGTAGGGATGATTTTCTTAGAATCAAGGCTGGAGAGCAGAGTGTTGAACACCACCTCACTGTCTGCAGTCTTGATAATAACCTATCCCCCACCAAGTGTGCAATTACATTTAAAAAATGAATATCCAGATGTTGCACAATTAAAGTAATGTGTAGTTTGATCCTCATTTTTGGATTCCACGGTTCAGACACAAAATGCTGAATCCTGTTCCAAGGTAATTCAAATTCTCCCACAAGAAAGAATGACTGCAGTGACTTTAGAATTATTCAAGTTTCTAAAAATATGCAAATGTATTTCTTTGGCATAACTTACTCTGCCTTTTTAAAAACCAAAGTATTATGTGAATTAGCAGAAAGGAAAGGGCATTATAACAGGCATGGGAGATATTTTTCAGCACCTCCCCTCTGACTCCCAAGACTCATGTACTATCAAGCACATCTTCACAACCTGAGGAGCTAGACTTGCTTTTGTTTGTAAACGGAACCTGGACAAATTTAGGATGCTGATTTCTGCACCTCTTCCATGTGTCAACAGAGCTATGGCAAACGCAGTCCTGCCAATCCCAATCTGCCCCAACAAATAATATGCAGATCTGCTGCTCCTATATTCTCCCTTGTACAAACCAAATGGATTTCCAGCAAGGCCCCAGGAATAACCAAAGTGCCTTATATTGCTTTATACAGCAATGCATGGCAAAGTTGTCAACAGGGGATAGGCATAACTTTGCAGTCTTTTCATTACCTGGCTTTCAGTTCAAGATCAAATCTGGACAGAAAGTTGCTTGCGCAGGAAGCATTTTTTGTCCGCACTGTGAGAGCAAATCCAGAGCCATGTGTAGGGAAGATGATGTTGTATTGCAGGGGTGTCTGAAACAGAAAATAATGTATAGCACATATAACAGGGGGCAACTACTTTATTATTGACAATAGCTCTGTGACTAAGCAGCAGAGGCACTTGTGGGCTAGGGATGCCATTTACCTGAATGTAGACACACCCAGAACCTTTCACTTCCACACTGTAGTTTCCGGGGATGTTGGGCAATTCAACCTGTTGCAGCAGGACACTGTTGCTACTCGTCACCTGGAAAACCTTCTTAAAAGATCCCCCAGCACTGATCTCCACTGTATTTTCTGCATCTTTTGTGAAGGTCAGATTCCCAAACCGAGATAAAGCCAGGAGAGCCACAGGAGTGTCCTGGAAAGAATCATACATATATGGAGAAGGTGAATAGAGAGAAGTTTCCCTTCCTCTTTCATGTCCCTAAAACTCAGGATTATTCAGTTAAACTGACTTGACAATCAATTCAGGATAGACAACAGAAGGTACTTCTTCATACAGTCCCCAATTAATGTATAACTTACCTGAGAGGAGGAGAAGCCTCCTAAAGAATTTTGGTTTCTGACCAGCCACCGCGCCATCTGTGAGCCGATTGTCAGGTCCTCCTGGGATAGGTTTGGTCGGTTAAGCCATGCCAGCAGTACATAACTGTTCATCAGAATCTCAAGAGATGATGCACGAATGTAGAAGGAAGGGAAATCTTCTACTCTAGGCCTCTTTTCCCTTTTCCAGTACAGCAGACCACCTGAAGATGCAGAAGAGGCTATTAAGTTATAGGGAAACAGTGGTTATCAATGTACTTCCATGTCAAGCTTCCTGGCTTTCATATTGATCCGCAGCAACCAATCTTTTCTCATGTATGTGCCACAAGGTAAGGGCAAGAGAAATCACTGCCTTGAAGTAGTTATCTTTCTAATCTGCCAAAGTGAGGTGCAGGCAGCTGAACAGTTCTGGAGTTGTGGACGTAATGTATCTTGATTTCAGTAAGGCTTTTGACAAAGTACCCCATGATATTCCTGTGGAGAAGCTGGTAAAGTGTGGGCTGGATGAGGCAACTGTTAGGTAGATTTGTAGCTGGCTGACTGACTGAACCCAAAGAGTGCTCATTAATGGTAGAGTGGGTTCTCCTTCATGGAGAGTGCGTGTTGCGGTGGGAGCAACCATGACATCCCCTGTTGCTGGGTGGGTTAGTTTGGATGGCCACGGATTTGATTGGGCACCTCCATTGTTGCTGGGGAAAATTGATCGTTGCAATTTTATTTGATTGATGGGGGTGCTATATAGGTCCCTGTGCACAGTGTTGAGCTTCTTCTTTTCGCTGCGCACATTGGATTACCCGCCTACCCTCCCTTTATTTAGGGTTTGTTTGCGCTGACCTTGCTATGCCTGTCATGGGGTCGTCTGCTTTGGAGCAGGGGCCTGGTAAGAATTTTACCATTTGGCTGATTGCCTGGGGCCATTTGGGTTTTGCCTACTGCGTAGCAAATCATTACAACTTGTAAGTTGCGGTTAGGCATTGGTTAATATTTTGGTTGGTGGAGGGGATGAGGTTGGCTGTGCCTGCCCCTCCAATGCTGCTGCTGCAAGGGTATTCTGTTAAAGGAATCCAGGGGCTCACCATGCTTTCGTCCGTATCCCTGACAAAGGGCTAGGGCCATGCAAGAGCCCCAGGGAGCATTTGGGGAGAGGTGTGAGCCTGGCACCCAGCTCTTCTCTCCCCAAAATTGCTTACCCTTACTGACTTCTGCATGGGTGTGGTTGTCTGTTCTGTTCCTACCTTTAAGCAGAGGCTTGACAACCATATGTCAGGAGTGCTCTGATGGTGTTTCCTGCTTGGCAGGGGGTTGGACTCGATGGCCCTTGTGGTCTCTTCCAACTCTATGATTCTATGATTCTATGATTCTACCTCCAAGTGGGTACAGATAGTCGCTAACCAATGCCTAAGCAACCACTCACTTACTGTAATTCAATAAAGTTGTGGCCAAAATTATGCCAAAAACCAAAACAAAAGTGATGTGTGAACGTGTTTTATTTAGGGGTATCTTAGGGGTCCTCGACACATAACTCCACATCCTGGAGAAAAAGTGACAAGTGGGGTGCTACAGGGTTGTGTCCTGGGCCCGTTGTGGTTCAGCATATTTATAAACAATTTGGATGAAGGAATTGAGGGGATGCTCATCAAATTTGCAGATGACGCCAAGCTGTGGGGGGAGCTAATGCCGCAGAAGACAGAATCTGGATTCAAAATGACCTTCACAGATTTGAGAAGTGGGCATAACATAATGAATTTTAATAGGGACACCTAGGTCTGCTTGTCATAAAGTCATGGCTTATTTTTGCGCACACTCATTTCTTGGTCAGTTGTTGGGTTGCGCTCGCACTTGGGGTACCACCAAAGCAGTGCCACCACAATATGAACCACCAAATTATTACAGCCTGTTGCATACCCTCCAACACTTCAGAGATAAAGCAGTGTCCCTGAATGGGTGGACTGCCATGGCATGGCTGAAGTAAACAACCAAAATTCAAGTGGTGCCACTGCTGGAAATCTAAAAGTGCATGCAAGCAGTTCCAGATGACAAATTTCATGGAGGCAAGCCACAAATCACAACAGTACACCACTTACCATTTCTAGTAGCAGATGTCATCAAGACGTCCAAGAAATGTTTCTGTTTTTCTGCGTTGCCAGCTAAACCATATGTATGGGCCAGGAGAGCATTTTCGAACGTGCTCCTAACACGCCCATCAGAAGCAGCATCCAAGCAGGAGAGGCCAGCCCGCACCACAGGATACTAGGGTTTAAGAGAGATTGTTATATATTATCAAGATGGCCTCTGAGGCAAGGCGAGGCAGCTGTTCTCACCGTTTTACTGTTTTATTGCCCTATTCTATTGTTCCCATTGGATTGTGCTCTTTGTTTACTTCAAGTACTCAAGAATGATCAAGGAGACATGCAAAAAATGCAATTAATTAGAACTTTGGATGAAGGAGCACCCTTTACATTATGTTATAGTTAATTCAGATAATAAGGGAAGGTCGAAAAGAAAGGTTTGTTACATCTCCTTGGAGTTGGCTGAGATTCTATATTGACTTGATGCTGATTTCCCGGTGGCGTTAAATAAGATGAAAGAGTATGGAAACTGAAATGCAAGCATGGCGTTTTAACACATCTTAACGGAACTGCCTGAGAAATATCTATGAAAACTAGAGTGATAGTAAATCAGTACCGAGCTCTTGAGGTTGCTCTCCAGTAGAGATGAAGTAATATAGGCCGTGAGTATGGTGTTTTGATCTGCTCCATCCTATTTGCAAAGGAAAAATCAGTTAAAACAGGGGTGTAATAGCTCAAAGTCCCCTCCCTAGAGAAATTTTGTTGGGCTTTTCATTTTGCTTCCCTGCAACAATCCCTGGAAATGAAATTCAACCTGCAGTCCTAAGTATACATAAAGATAAAGGTAAAGGGACTCCTGACCATTAGGTCCAGTTGTGGCCGACTCTGGGGTTGCAGCGCTCATCTTGCTTTATTGGCCGAGGGAGCCGGCGTACAGCTTCCGGGTCATGTGGCCAGCATGACTAAGCCACTTCTGGAGAACCAGAGCAGTGCACGGAAACGCCGTTTACCTTCCCGCCGGAGGAGTACCTATTTATCTACTTGCACTTTGACGTGCTTTCGAACTGCTAGGTTGGCAGGCGCAGGGAGCTCACCCCATAGCGGGGATTCGAACCGCCGACCTTCTGATTGGCAAGTCCTAGGCTCTGTGGTTTAACCCACAGTGCCACCCACGTCCCTGTAAGGATACATACTTGAGACTTAATACCCTTAAACTAAGGACTTCTCCACACTTCCTATTGTCCTGCTGCTTTCTCTTCAGCACTCTTGGATTGCCATTCATTCCGATCTATTGCTAAAAAGTGAGTTTTCCCTTGGAAATGAGCAGGGCAAGGGAAAAACAGCTTGGACCTGTGCTTTTTAGGTATGGCACACATGGAATTGTGGATGAGTCCTCATCAGTGGGATTTAATTCTTCCAGATAGCTATGCAGAGACTTGCACTGTTTCTACTTGTATGAATCTGGTCTGCAAGTCCGCTCACCCCTTTTGGTGCCACAGCGTTGCAGGACGGATGAGGCTTCACTGGGGCCCCGAGAGAGGAATTCAAACTGCAGTGCCCTTCCTGATAGGCGATGGGGGCATAAGCCCCTGCTGCCTATCAGGAACCCGATCCTAGCCTGCACCCTGCTTTGGCAAATGGGGATGCAGGCTGGGACCTGGGCTGGGCCAGGGGGCAGAGCCGATGGAGCCGATGGAGCCGATGGTGGGCTTCCCTCGGAGCTGCACCCTGCCCATTTAAGCAGCCCATACCTGGGCACTGCCTGTTTGTTCCTGCACCAGGTTTCTCCACCCACCCACGGTTTACGCTGCTAGTCAATGACTTTGCTGTGGTTACGGTGGTAGCTGTTCTTTATGGGTCCAGGTAGGAATTTGCCCACCGGGCTAATTGGCTCTGACCCAGTGGTTTTGCCTACCTCATAGCAATCGTCACAACCGTTTGGGCATTGGGGCAATCCTTTGTTTTGGATGGAGGGGAGGTTGTAGTCTCTGCCTGCCCCTCCAAACGCTGGGGTATCCCATTAAAGGGATCTTGGGGGGGGGAGTGGCCATGTCCGTGTGCCCAGGGGGGCCAGGACCGAAGGCACTCTCTCAAATGGCAGTCACCCTATTTGATGTAAGTCTTAGGAACCCCCGCCTGGGTTGACCACACGTCACATCCGGTGGGCGGGCCGGAAGTACCGTATTTTTTGCTCTATAAGACTCATTTTTCCCCTCCTAAAAAGTAAGGGGAAATGTGTGTGCGTCTTATGGAGCAAATGCAGGCTGCGCAGCTATCCCAGAAGACAGAACAGCAAGAGGGGTCGCTGCTTTCACTGCGCAGCGATCCCTCTTGCTGTTCTGGCTTCTGGGATTCAGAATATTTTTTTTCTTGTTTTCCTCCTCCAAAAACTAGGTGCCTCTTATGGTCTGGTGCGTCTTGTAGAGCGAAAGATACGATACTTAGATTGCCCCATGCCCAAGCCAAACCTCTTTCATAGGTATTCAATAAAGTTGTGGCCTGTTTTGACCCCAAACCAGTCTTATTTGTCTCTTATTTATATGGGTTGGGGTATGGAAAGTTTGATGCCTGGTCCTGCAATCTTCAGATAAAAGTAGAACTGTGCTGGACATTTCTTTTTCCCATTCATTGGGTGAGTGAGCGCCAAACAAAACCCTCCCAGAAGTTCATTGGGTGGAGATAATAGATTTATTTGAATTTGTTTTAGAAGGGGTTGCCACGTATCTCAAGGTGGTCAAGAGTTTTCTATTTATTCCCTTATTTCTTCAAGTGAGAAAAGACCCATGCAACTCAGAGCAGCACAGAGCTCTCTACAGAGCTCCCTACTGACTGCACTTCCATGAAACACACTATAAGGTAAGTGAAACCCCTCCCACAAAATTCCAACAATTTTCTCCCCTCCCCAGTGAGAAAGCATACTTTGCCCCCCCCATATTTTCAGGAAATTGGGGGCAAGGAGGGTTTCAGTCCATCGTATTGAAAATCACATCCCTCACACAAACAATTTCCATTTATACTGTCCATAACTTCCCGTGGGAAAGCGATTAATCCATTCCCACCTCTAAGGCTTGGTTGTAGATTTTCCCATCCGACTTGAAGCAGCCATCTGGCCCCTGTTTGCTTGAAATCCAGAGGAGTGCTTGATTCAGGATGGTTTCATCTACAAATATAGCAGGTGAGCTCTGTCCAAATGCTTTGTAGACTAAGGTGGTGAGCCTGAAAGGACAAAGAGCAGAGGGGCCTGGGATGAGAACAGCACTTGGCAAAGCAGGAAGAAGTCAAGACCAGAGTCGCCACTTCCAATGCTTCAATATGCACAAAGGACTGTATCCATCTGGAATTAGGGAAGCAGGATAAACCCAGGAGAGGCGCTGATGAAAAGCTCAGCGGAAGGATGGGAAAGAATCGTTTCCGATTTATAGCAGACATAGAAGCCAACTCCTAGGGGCTGAGGGGTCTTCACCCCCCCATTAAAATATTGGGGAGGCAGAGCCCCCCAAGTTGAAGGGCATTGCCATTCAAATTGTACCCGTGAACAGCATCATGTGATCAATTATGCATGGTAAGGCTTACAATATTTTATTCCAGTTGTCACCCCTGGTAGCAGAGTTTGTTTTTTGTTTTTTAAAGGATTAAGCCAGGGGTCAGCAAACTTTTTCGGGGGGGCGGTCCACTGCCCCTCAGACCTTGTGGGGGGCCGGACCCACCCTCTCCTGAAAGCACCCCCCCTCCCGAAAGGACCCCCCCACTGCCACTCATGCCGCAGCTGCTGATACCGCCTTGTCTTCGGCAGTGTCGTCATCGTCATCCTCTGCCTCAGCCAGGAGTCTGTGGGGCACAAAGCCCATGCTACTGGCCTGGGCGGCAGAGGCAGCCTCCCCGCCGCCACTGCTTCCTCCCACTCGGCTCTTGGCCATACGCGGCCACCTCAGCAGGAAGGAAGAGGTGTCGCCCAGAGGTGTTCGTGGCTTTGGATTGGCTGCAGGAGCTTCCTGCAGCCAATCCGAAGCCATGCCAGCGTAGCGGAAGTCAGTCCCTGCGCGGTGAGGCCTGTGCACCGTACTGGTTTAGCGCAGGGACTGACCAAGCGGGTGGCAGGGTCTGCAAGGTTCATGGGCTGGATTAACGAGCCCGGTGGGCCACATCCGGCCCCCGGGCCTTAGTTTGCCGACTCCTAGATTAAGCAGTCACAGATAATAGATCAATCAATGGATATTATTCTGTGAACTGCTCTGAGACCCCTGGGTATAGGGTGGTATACAGGTGAAACTTGAAAAATTAGAATATCATGGAAAAGTTCATTTATTTCAGTAATTCAACTTAAAAGGTGAAACTAATATATGAGATAGACTCATGTCATGCAAAGCGAGATATGTCAAGCCTTTATTTGCTATTTGCAGTCACTGATGCAAAAGGGGCCCAAACCAAGTACTGAGTACATATGCATGCTTCTACTTCTCAGAGGTCCAGTATTGCTCTATTTGCAATCCTTGTTTTGCTGATTTCATTTAATATTCTAATTTACTGAGATTGCTAATTTAGGGCTTTCATCAGCTGTATGCCATAATCATCACAATTATAACAAATAAAGGCTTGACATATCTCGCTTTGCACGTCATGAGTCTATCTCATATATTAGTTTCACCTTTTAAGTTGAATTACTGTAATAAATGATTTTCTAATTTTTTGAGTTTCACCTGTATAAATTCTAATAATAATAATAATAATAATAATAATAGCCAGCCAAAGTCTAATGGACCCAAATGGATTAGAACAGAGTTTCCCAAACTTGGGTCTCGGCTGTTTTTGGACTACAACTCCCATCATCTCTAGCTAGCAGGACTCAGCAGTCAAGGATGGTGGGAAGTGTAGTCCAAAAGCAGCTGGAGGCCCAAGTTTGGGAAACAGTGGATTAGAGCTAGCACTTGCTGAGGGCAAACAAGGGGGGGGCTAGTACTTCATGCACTGCTCATGAGCTTCCCACTTGAAATGGCTGGCCAACTGTTGAAGCTGGATTGAATGGACTCTTGTTCTGATCTAAGAGGACAAACCTATGATGCTTGTACCAGTGGGAGCAGCAGGAAGGAACTCATCTCCCCAAATGCCCCCAGGTTGGAACCCAGTGCCTTCCTCAGACATTCGGTCCTGGAAGCCCATCAGCCCCACGTCTGAAGGAACAATGCACTGCCATCTTGTTTCCGCTTGAGGCCTTACAGCAACTTCACAGGTCTTACCAAAGGTTTCCTTCTGCCTCCCTGCTTCCAAAAGTACTGAAGGATCCATCAGGGAGTCTGAATGGCATCTGCCTCTGGTATCCTGAAGTGGAAGAAAAATACAGCAAACCATTTTTTTAGGTGCTTTCCCCCTTTAACTGTCAAATACATTTCAAGTGAGGAAGATGGCAAGAGCAGAGATGGCCTTCTCAGTGGTGGCATCCTGGCTATGGAATAGGCTCCCTTGGGAGGCTTGCCTGGTGCCTTATGTATTTAATTATGTGTCAAGTGGAAAATTTCTATTCACCCATGCCTGTGAAAGCAAATAAAAACCCCTGGGCTCAATGTCTGAGTTGTGTTTTATTCTATCATCTGAGCTGCTAAATTGGTTTTATTTCTCCTTCACCAGGAAGGAAAGTTTTAATGCTGCATTTTAGGGGGGAAATCTATTCAGTCTGCTTTCCACAGAGCACTGACCTGATGTGCCCCAAACTTGCCAGCAAATTGTTACGCAGCTCCCCATGAGATGGTGGTGATGATGATTTACCGTATTTTTTGCCCTATAGGACGCACTTTTTCCCCTCCAAAAATGAAGGGGAAATGTGTGTGCGTCCTATGGAGCGAATGCAGGCTTTCGCTGAAGCCTGGAGAGCGAGAGGGGTCGGTGCGCACCCACCCCTCTTGCTCTCCAGGTTTCAGGCAGCTATCCACAAGCCTTCGGAGCCCGGCAGGAGTTCCCGCTGGGTTCCGAAGGCTTGTGGATAGCAGCCTGTTCTGGGGGCTGGGGTCGGGGGAAGCTTGGGCTTCCCCCGCCCCAGCCCCGCGGCTAAAAACAAAGCGGCGCGCAGCTTCTCCTGGCTGGAGAGGTTGTGCGTGGCTAAAGAGGAAGCCAAGACAGCTGTCTTGGCTTCTTTGCTCTTTGGGGCTGGGGGGGAGAAATATTTTTTTTCCTTTATTTCCCCCCCTAAAAACTAGGTGTGCCCTATGGTCTGGTGCGCCCCATGGAGCAAAAAATACGGTATTTGTACTCCTCCCATCCAACTGGGTTGATGCACTCCTCTAGATTTTGCAACACAATGCGCATATCGTATATGAAATACGCATACAAAATGCATATTGTGCTGGCGAATGCATGGGAAAGCATGTATTTTATGCAAAAGGTGTGCATGAAATGTGCACAACCTGACAAAACATGCCAGTGCCCTCTTTGTGCTCGTGCTATACCTTCATGTGCCTAAACATGTATGGCTGCCTACGTTGCAGCCATTGAAACGAAAGAGCGACTTGGAAGATGCCATCACAAATATCCATGTTTTCAGTTTTGAAAGTACTCACCAGCATTTAAATTTCGAATGATCCTGGATTTTTTTTCTTCTGTCAACTGCTTTGTATCAGTCAGGTAGAACAAAATGTATAAATGGGACAAGAACATGGCAATATTCTGTTCTGCACAACCGTAGGGCATTGGGAGAAGATTTTCAGCGTTCTTCATGGCTGTGCCCAGAATGTCACCTTGGGAGCAAAAGAATATGGGCATTTATGCACTGCATGTCACGAAGAAGAAGAAGAAGAAGAAGAGGAGGAGGAGTTTGGATTTGATATCCTGCTTTATCACTACCCGAAGGAGTCTCAAAGCGGCTGACATTCTCCTTTCCCTTCCTCCTCCCCCACAACAAACACTCTGTGAGGTGAGTGGGGCTGAGAGACTTCAAAGAAGTGTGACTAGCCCAAGGTCACCCAGCAGTTACCCCCCACAGGTCACTACCGCTCTTAACCACTACACCACACTGGCTCTCACAAACTCCTTAGGGCCGAGGTCCCTTCAGCCCCACCCCATAAAATAGTTGAGGGGGCTGGGCCCCCCAAAAGTTGATGGGCATTTCTAATCAAATGGTGTGTGTGAGCTGCATATTGTGATCAATTATGTGGGGCTGGTCTCCAATATTTGGCACCCTGATTGTTACCTCTACAATGGATGCTGTTTTCATAATAAATGATTGTCCACAAACTCACAGGGCACGGACCAAATCCCCTCTAGTTCTCCCCCACCTAGAATATCTGCAATTTTTATCCAATTCTGTCAAAGTTTAAAAAGGCGTAACCATTAGGGGAAGAAATCTCTACAATACTAGTGAGCCAAATCACGGTCTCCCGAGGGCTACAAGATAAACATTGCTCTTTTCTGAAGCACCAAAATGGGGTCCAAACCAAATCTTTACCCCAGCCAACTATCATGTCTGTAATTAATTCCTGGTTCATTATAAATATACAACTCCAGGCTAAGCACAGAGTAAAGAAGGGAATTGGTACGTGTATGTTGGGAAGGAGGTTTGATGTTAGAATGGCAAAGGAGAATGAGCGGCAACTTTTGCCTTTCTCTGCACACTCAGGGGTGCTGAAGACTGCTGTGTTTCAGATCAAGCAATGACTTAGGGGAGACACCTCACAATTACAGTCATACCTTGGTTGTCAAATGCCTCGGTACTCGTCCGTTTTGGCTCCTGAACGCCGCAAACTCGGAAGTGAGTGTTCTGGTTTGCGAACGTTCTTTGGAACCCGAATGTCCGACGTGGCTTACACGACTTCCAATTGAGTGCAGGAAGCTCCTGCAGCCAATCAGAAGCCGTGCCTTGGTTGTCGAATGTTTTCGGAAGTTGAACGGGCTTCCGGAACGGATTCCTTTCGACAACCAAGGTACGACTGTATATTGATGGAGCAATGCCATACCAGGGGGAAAAAATGCATCAAATATGAAATGTCACAACAATCTTCCACAAGGCGCAAACAGCAAGGAAAGATTTCAAGTATGATAACATTCTGAGAACTTACCAAGGACATAAAGTGAAGCTTTTTCTGATCCAATCACCAGATTTGAAGGCAAGTTCAAGGTTATTGTTTCAGAGACTGGTGTACCTAAGGATTTACAGCAATAAATAATGGGGACTCGATGTGGGTCCTCTTTCAACATTCTTCATATAGCATGGGAGCCATTGTCATAGCTTTTAAGTGAAGAAACTGGCAAATGGTGGTAATGGAGCTGAAATTAATTTACCCACCACTTATAATTGGATAGCCAGTGAATATTTGACTTCAGTATTTAGGTCTAATCTACACTATACATTTTAAACATTCTTATACCACTTCAACTGTCATGGAGAATCCTGGAAACAGTCGTTTGTTAAGGATGCTGGGAATTCTAGCTCTTTGAGGCCAGCACCCTTAAACTACAGTTCCCAGGACTCCTTGGGAGAAGCCAAAGTTATTGGGTTGTTCTTGTTTTTATTTTGATTGTGTATTTTGTGTTTTTATATTGTGATTTTATCCTGTGAACCACCCTGAGACCTGCAGGTATAGGGCGGTATAGAAATTTAATAAGTAACAATAAAACAATAATGACTGTTAAAGTGCTTTAAATGCATTGGATACAATGCTATTTAAGGCTCAGGATTGCTGTGGGTCAGGTTATTATTCTCAAACAGTAATTGAAGCTAAGAATTAATGGTATCAATATTTGATATTTTTATTTACAGTATTTCTGTAATGCCTTTAAAAAAATAATATATATATTTAAGGCAGCCAACAATGTAACAGAAAATTCTACTATAACAAACATGTTTGGCAGCTGGTGCAATTATGTATTTTACACCTGCCAAGTAAAACCAAACAAATGGATGTCGAAGTCTAAAAACAATTGTGGAAATAGTGAATTTTCATTCTATGCATGTAGCACATACCTTTTACGCAGATCAGAGAGCTCTGGGTCACCTCCTTCTTGATGCCTTCAGGCTGGATGACAGAGGAAACGGTAAGATGAAAAATACAGAATGCATATCCATCCATCCATCCATTCATTTTCTACACCACCCAAGGATCTCAGGGCATATAAAAACTCAAAAATGCCTAACGTAATAATGAACAAATATGAAAACAATACCCCCCACAGTTTAAAAGAACATAAAGCTTGCAATTAGATAGCAACAGAAGCCAGAATAATACAGAGCATCCATTAGCTGCCTGCAAAGTTCTCATGTGCTTCATTTGAAGACCCTCCAGATTGCAGGTCTCAATTAATCCATACCAGTGGAGGAACAATTTGCTATCTATTCCTCCTCATTTGGGACTGTCAGCTAGCTTCTGCTTTCCACCCATGTACTTCTAGGCTTCCACAATGCATCATGCCAAACCTATGCACACACTGGGCAACCCCTTGTAAGGACCTGTTCCTCTTCGTAGCTGCATTTGTGCTCATATACCACCAGTATCGGGATGCGGGTGGCGCTGTGGCTTAAACCACAGAGCCTAGGACTTGCTGATCAGAAGGTTGGCAGTTCGAATCCCCGCAACGGGGTGAGCTCCCGTTCCCCGGACCCTGCGCCTGCCAACCTAGCAGTTCGAAAGCACGTCAAAGTGCAAGTAGATAAATAGGTACCGCTCTGGCGGGAAGGTAAACAGCGTTTCCGTGCGCTGCTCTGATTCGCCAGAAGCTGCTTAGTCATTCTGGCCACATGACCCGGAAGCTGTACGCCGGCTCCCTCGGCCAATAAAGCGAGTTGAGCGCCGCAACCCCAGAGTCGGTCACGACTGGACCTAATGGTCAGGGGTCCCTTTACCTTTTACCACCAGTATCAGCTGGTGTGGTGGGGCAGAGACATCCTCTCAGCATCCAAATCACTGCAGCTTCCCTGGACTTGCTGGGAACCTGAAGGCCCTTTTCCTGCCTCTCTCCATGTGGCTGGGGGGGGGCGGGGGGGCTGACAGGCTTCATAAGAACTGCTGCTGCTGCCCAGCAAGGACTGGGGTATTTTGGGAAAAGTTTATTCAGGAGTTTTTGTTGTTATTGATATTAATTTTTTGTATCTGTGTTTTTATGTGCAAATTGTTCAGTTTGGTTATGTAGTTTTTGATGTGTTTTATTGATTTTTATGACTACTTTGCTCTGTTTGCAATTATGTAAATCTTTTCATATTGTGAGCTGCCTTGAGCATTATTTTAACTGTGGAAAGGCGGCATACAAATGAAATGATGATGATGATGATGAGGTAAAAAAGGACCCCTGGACGGTTAAGTCCAGTCAAAGGCAACTATGGGGTTGCTTTCAGGCCGAGGGAGCTGGTGTTGGTCCACAGTCCAGCAGGACTAAACCGCTTCTGGCGTAACGGAACACCATAATGGAAGCCAGAGCGCATGGAAACGCCGTTTACCTTCCCACCGCAACAGTACCTATTTATCTACTTGCACTGGCGTGCTTTTGAGCTGCTAGGTTGGCAGGAGCTGGGACAGAGCAACGGGAGCTCACCCCATCGCAGGGATTCGAACCGCTGACCTTCTGATCGGCAAGCCCAAGAGGCTCAGTGGTTTAGACCACAGCGCCACCTGCGTCCCCTTATGATGATGATGATGATGGATGGGGGATGTCAGCGATGCTCCTTCACTGAGAGGGAATGAGAACGTAGGCATAGAATGAAATCAGATAAGCGTGGAATGCAGAGGGGAGGGAGCAGCAGCAGGGAGCAGCCGTAACTTGATCTCTGGACACAGGGAAAGAATGCAAGTTGTCAGCTCAGACAGTGACACAGATACAGGAGTACAGGGAGCACTCTCTCCAAAATCTCGTTGAATCACGAGACTGGCCAAGAAGCACGAAAAGGACAGGAAGAGAAGGTGGAGGTTTTCCTATTGTGGGGAAAGGGGGCGGAGCTCAGTTCTGGCAACTGTGCTATCTGAGGAGGACGGAGATTAGCTGAGCTCCGACTGGGACGTTTTTATTTGACTAATAAATCTGAAGTAATTAACTTCCAGAGTCGTCTCGTGTGTGTGAGAGAGAGATCTAAGCCTTACAGGGCAGGGCAGGAGTGAAGTCAGGGCTGCACAAATGAATCCAAGCCAGTCCTCTTGCCTGTAAACCTTTGCAGCTCCAACTCCAACCTCTCCACCACTAAATGACACTGGTTGCTAATGTGCACCACTATGGTCCACAAAACCCTTTTCCATCTCTTGCAGATGCCAAGGTTTTCATGCTTACCTCAACCAAAAGCGGCTTGATCACGGTGTCCCTTCGTCCTGCGCTCAGCTCAGTTCCTTTGGCTTCAGCAGTGATACTGAAATTCACCATACCTGAAAGAAGGAATGGAAAGAAAACTTACATATCGGCCAGCTTTTAAATTTGTATTCAGAATCAGAAGAATCTTTATTTGCACCAGCCACTAGCCATAGCAATAAAATAAAATGTACTGAAGATAGAGGTAAAAACTTAACAATACAAAATACATTTTGGAGATTTGCATCAACCATGAAATAATAGATCTTATTTGAATTGCCCCTGCTAAAAACCTTGCAGTTTTTGCTGTCACCTGATCATCTTCATCTACTAAAAGAAAGGACACAGTTGAGTGTGGTTGAGTGACCCGGCATTGACAATAATAGAGGGGTAATAAACCTCACTCCTCAAATCTTTGTATTTAATTTGTATTAATCTGGTGACATTTGTTAAAAAGTATGAAAAATCAATAAAAAATAACTGACAAAAAACCCACAAACTTACATGTAAAGTCCAAATTGTCACCGCCATGGCACTGAAGCAAGAAGAGCAGCATATATATTCCCTTGTATGTTGCATGTTTTAGATAACTAATATACAAATCATTTATAATGTACATAGGGCATTCCTAGCAGTAAACAGTAGCAGCTTGTTTCTTGCTCGAAGCCATAAGGATTATCAGGGTTTCCAGTTTCATTTATCATTTCATTTCATTAAAAATACATTTATTTATTTTTCTAAGTTGCAATTTGGGGAGAAATTCAAGAAATTCAGAGGAAAGCTAAAATTGCAAAATTCTGCAAGAGAAGATGATTACCCAGTCTTTGAGGGGTAATTCTCCACGTGTAGGATTGTGTTTCATTCGCACAGATTCTTACGGAGTTGTTCCCTGGAGACAGCTTTTCTGCTTTGAAATCCTGAGACTCTTCCAGCTTAACATCTATCTGAGAGCAGGGAAAACAATGACAATAGTGTTGTAAGTTTGTGGAGTCGCCTGGGCTGCCCTTCTACTTCTGGGGTGGCAGACACTGAATTTAGTATGTTAAAATATAAGACATGTTGTTGTTGTTTTTTTTAAAAAAGCCAGGCTGGCTTCCTGATGAAATAATCATCTGAAGAGATGGACCATTAAGAGAACGCAAAAGATAGGGTAATGGCGCATCACAAAGGCCATCAGCAAGGCACACAGTCTCTTCCTGGAATCACACACCACTTGGAGACTGGGGTGGTGTGTAACAATATAAAATAAGGAGCTGTCAAGTGCCAATTAAAACCTAGAATGTACAACTGCTATCTTGACTTGGGAGCAAATTACAAGCAGTACCGGATTTCACCCTGTGAAGTCCCCATGGCAATTGAAATCTTGACACACACACCCCTCACAAATTATCTAGAGGAATAACATTGAACTAAGAAAGCTTGATTGTCATTTTCTATCAAGATCAAATCTGGCCTGGGAGAGTGGAGTGCTGACTGACTCCAGCTACAAAAGCTGAGGCTGTTGAACAGATTCTTGGGCTGGAGTATTGTTTACGCAGGGTTGAGAGAGCTGTTGCTGTTATTGATATTGTTGTTGTATCTTTAGTTTTAGATCTTATGATTTACGTGGAAATTGTTTCCATTTGGTTGTGTACTTTTTGATGTGTTTTATTTATTGTTTATGACTTCTGTTATGTTTGTAATTATGTAAATCTTATCATGTTGTAAGCCGCCTTCAGCATAGTTTCAACTATGGAAAGGCGCCATACAAATAAAATGATGATGATGATAATATTTTGATCCATTGTCACAGGGCCCCTATAAAAGGTGGTGGTGGGGGCCCCATAGGCTGGTACCTACTCTGACCTATTTGGTAATCCAGCACTGATTACAAGGCATTTTTCCTACTCTTGCAACTTGCATTCCTGGACCAGAAAATGTCAAGAGCTCAGATGATCACAATCCAGGAACGACTGTAACTGTCTTACAGCTGAATCTTGTAAAAGGCACCCCTAGTGACCAAGGACGTCTGAGTCTCCAGTGATGGCGCTAGATCTAGGAGCACCGCCAGGCTACTCACCTGCTTCTTTAGGGAGAGTGCAGCCCCATCCAGGGCAGGCAACATACTGACTTCCTGGAGTCAGGTACACTACGCGGCAAATACGTATTTGCCCTGCCTGAATGACTGGCTGCATTTTAGCTAGATTGGCCCTCTCTCTTTAGACTTTCCTCTTGCCCTCTGAGGTCCTGCTCACAGATAGAACAGGAAAGCACCCAAGGAAAGTGAATGATGAGTAAAGGATTGTGGATTCTTCAGTTCCAGCTCTCCTAAATTATGTAAGATGCCAAGTCATAATAGCAGCTAAAGCAAGTTTAAAAAAAATAAAATTTGCCTGCAGGGATAGGGTTTCTGTAATGTGTTCCACTTCTGTGTTTTGCTACCCTGTTATGTATTCAGTGGTCTGTGTTTGCCTGAGCTTGAGTCTGGTCTAAGCATTCTGGATTTGGGCCTCTGCGACCGGCCCTTGAACTCTGAGTTGTGATTTGCAGCTTGGAAGTTTAGACACCCAATCATGTTGGGAATGGGAGTGGCCCAGGAAGAAGAAGAAGAAGAAGAAGAAGAAGAAGAAGAAGAAGAAGAGGAGGAGGAGGAGGAGTAGTTTGGATTTGATATCTCGCTTTATCACTACCCAAAGGAGTCTCAAAGCGGCTAACATTCTCCTTTCCCTTCCTCCTCCCCCACAACAAACACTCTGTGATGTGAGTGGGGCTGAGACACTTCAGAGAAGTGTGACTAACCCAAGGTCACCCAGCAGCTGCCTGTGGACGAGCGGGGAAGTGAACCCGGTTCACCAGATTACGAGTCCACCGCTCTTAACCACTACACCACACTGGCTCTCAGGAAACTGTTTCCCAGTTATGTAGTTCAATAAAGGTTCTTGCTGTTATCGCTGTGTCTTGCCTCATGAGAACCCACCTGCACTTCATACCCTGTATTAGGTTTTAAGAGCACTAACTGGAGACAGAAGAACGTACCTCAATGCAGTCGTCCTGGAAATTGAAGACATTGCCTTTAAAAAGGAATACTTCCCCTCGGATAGTGGAGTAGGGCATAGCTGGCTCAACAAAGAATGGCTGAAAAGCTCTCAGGGAGGCAATTCCTGAGAGGCCAAACCCAATGTTGTCGTTCATACAGAATGCATTGGCTTGCCATTCAGTGATGGTGTCAGGCACGGTGTATGAGAGATTGGCTTTCCCACTAGAACTGAAGCATAAGAGGACAAAATTGTAGACTCTTTTCGCATGGATCTATGTCTACAATTAAATTTGTTACTAATATAAGCTCCATACCATTTAAGAGTATGCATATGTCCCAAATATCTTTATATACTAAAATAAAAATATTGTGGATGGATTTTCCACTGAAAGCTATTGCTATCAGTAGCAGCTCCCAAATTTATACAGTAAATATCCCATACAAATATTCCCACAAGTTGCCCAAATATCTAAAAATAAAAACCATAATGAAGAAAGGATTATCCAGCTAAATGAGGTTCTAATAATTCTCTCAACTTTTTTTTCACACAAGGACTCTTAAACAGAATCCAGAAAATGAAAATGAAAATAACAAGATAGAATAGTAGAAAGACTCACTCAACCCAAAGCAGCTGCCAAAAGAATGTTTCAGGAAAGTATGTTCTCAATGTGCTTGTACCCCCAGCTGCAGCACTAAAAGCAACTCCGCCTGAAAAACAAAGAAAGGACAAGATGATGAGAGAAAAGGGAGTTTGGCTTCTATAACAGAAACAGTACTGAAGAGGTTTAGGGTTTAATGGTGAAATTAATGCTTCACATTAAAAGGACATCAAGCAGGAATGATGTTGAAACTATGAATAACCTCCTTTTGCCAGCTCCAAGGGTCATGGTACATCAACATGGCACACTACCGCTGCCATTATGCAAAATAAGATGTCAGCATTTCTAAATCTGGGAAATAGTGATAGCCTTCAACAAGGGATTCCTCTACATTTTTTTACCTTTATCAGAAACTCTGTGGCTCCTATGTCTGTTGCTGCCAAATGAGAAGTGACATTTGTCACATGAGGTGGACTTTTAAACAAATTACCAGTGTGGTGGGGTCCTGTCCCCTGAACTAGACTGAGATCGTGGCATGAGAGGAAGGAGGCATTAAGACTTTGCTCTCGCCCTGATCTCAGTTGTAATCCCACAATCCTAATGCCGGCTGCTCACAATGGGACAAAAGCTTCCATTGGGGTTGACTGTTCATTAAAAAGAAAACGAAGCCACATATAAGGCCAAACGAAACATCTAGTTTGATCTCAGTGTGGGTAAAACTAATAAGGGGAATACCATAATAATATCACTATGGTTTTGCTAATTAATAGCGAGTCTAAACATTTTCTTTTTTTAAAAAAAATAAAACTTTGGAGGGAGGCTGAATCTTATTTTATGCCTTGCAATGTGCTAGCATGACACCATCTGCACTGAGAAAGACCATAGAAAGGCCTTCACCTGAAAGGAACATATGAATTGTCTGTTTGGCTTTGCATGTGAAATGGATCGAAACAATCAGCCTAAAACAGCCCATCACCCTTAAAACATTTCAATAAGTCCTTCTCCAACCTTCTTCCATAATACGAGGTTCATCCTCAGGATAATCAGATGAAATCTTCTTGCATTCAAAGTCACTTTGGCATACAACGGGCTTTTGTAGTGTAGAGTTGGTGAAAACCTTGAGACCTAAGTTCTTAAAAGGAATAGATAAAATGCTGTTTAACTGATTTCTTTAGACAACCAAACCTACCACACTTTCTAAGACCTTCTCGTTGATAATATGGTTCTTTCTAGGTGAGGTGAATTATTTATCCAGAGTAGCACACATACTTCAGGCCACCTCACTGGTTCTTCACATACTTTTATAACTTACTAACTGGGCTTAAGAGGGTAAAGTGCCGTTAGATGACCAGTGTTGATTACATTGCTACAGTCATTTGCTCATGAAAACTGAATCCATCTATTTCAGGAAGAGGTATCTATAATACAAGGGCGATCCATGGGTGGCGCTGTGGTCTGAACCACTGAGCCTTTGGGCTTGCCGATTGGAAGGTCGGCAGTTCAAATCCCCGTGACAGGGTGAGCTCCCATTGCTCAGTCCCAGCTCCTGCCAACCTAGCAGTTCAAAAGCACGCCAGTGCAAGTAGATAAATAGGAAGCGATGCGATGGGAAGGTAAACAGCGTTTCTGTGCGCTCTGGTTTCCGTCACGGTGCCCCGTTGCTCTAGAAGTGGTTTAGTCATGCTGGCCACATGATCCAGAAAGCTGTCTGTGGACAAATACTGATTCCTTTGGCCTGAAAGTGAGATGAGCGCCGCAACCCCATAGTCGCCTTTGACTGGACTTAACCGTCCAGGGGACCTTTAAAGGTAAAGGTAAAGGGACCCCTGACCATTAGGTCCAGTTGTGGCCGACTCTGGGGTTGTGGCGCTCATCTCGCTTTATTGGCCGAGGGAACAGGCGTACAGCTTCCGGGTCATGTGGCCAGCAGGACTAAGTTGCTTCTGGTGAACCAGAGCAGCGCACGGAAACGCTGTTTACCTTCCCGCCAGAGCGGTACCTATTTATCTTCTTGCACTTTGACGTGCTTTCAAACTGCTAGGTGGGCAGGAGCAGGGACCGAGCAATGGGAGCTCACCCCATCGTGGGGATTCGAACCGCTGACCTTCTGATCGGCAAGTCCTAGGCTCTGTGATTTAACCCACAGCGCCACCCGCTGGGGATCTTTACCTTAAAAGAGCACCACTCATGCTCAGCTCTGCTCTAGATCATAACTAGTTTCCAGTACTAGCCATATACAGTGGTGCCTCGCAAGACGAAATTAATTCGTTCTGCGAGTTTTGTCGTCTTGCGATTTTTTTCGTCTTGCGAAGCACGGTGTCGGGAAAGTTTTGGAAAAGCTTCAAAAATCACCAAAGTCTTTAAAAACCTCAAAAAGGCTACCACACCGCGTTCTATGAGTTGCTCCTCGAAGTCAAGTCACAACTGTATTAACGGTGTTAAGAAAAGGAAACAAACTTGCAAGACGTTTCCATCTTGCGAAGCAAGCCCATAGGGAAAATCGTCTTGCGAAGCAGCTCAAAAAACAAAAAACCCTTTCGTCTAGCGAGTTTTTTGTCTTGCGAGGCATTCGTCTTGCGAGGTACCACTGTACAGGTTGCCTTCCCCAAAAGCAGCAGTGGCAGTCCCAATATAAGCATAGAGACAAACATACCCTGAAAACGTCATAGACATTGCCGTCATCAGTCACATTCACAGGTATGTAGAATTGGCCATCAAAGAAAGTATTTTTCAGCTCAACGCATGGCTCTTTAGGGGTATCTTCAAGGTTCAACCCATTAAAATAATAGCCATAAAGTTCTCGATAAGGAAGGCGAGAGTACATCTGGTGAGAAATGAATAATGAACACAGATGAGACCTGGAGGAGCATAAAAGCCTGCCTTACATGAGCAGTGGCAGTGCTTTTTTCCCCTGGGGTACGCATACCTCTAAACATTTTGTGAATGTAAGTTTGGCCTCATTGAGGGGCAGTATTTCAATATGAGTAGGAAAATGAGAATGCCCCTAAACATTTTTTTTTTAGAAAAAAAGCACCGAGCAGTGATATCTACAAGCAAACATCAAGATGGGATTTCCAGTTATGGAGATGCAGAAGATTTATAGGTAAAATCATTCTTATTCTTCGTGCCCTTTATTGGCTTAATATATGAGTAGAAATCTATTCCTTCTGATTTTTCTTCAGCAGATGGAGCATGCCTGGAACACAACGTAGTCAAAGCTTTTTATTAGCAAGACCTATTTAATTAATATTTTTCAGTGCACAGTAGAATATTGCACCTTTTCCTATATCCCACAGCTGGGATGAGGAGTCAAAGAAATTTCATGCAGGCGTATTCACTAAGATTTGGTTGTAATAGTCTTTTTCTCATTCCCTGCAGAACTGAATAGCTTCATAAGCAATTATGGTTATCATTACTGTTCTTTTCTTAGAAAAACATTTGCAGAAAATGCCATCCTGCTGCAGGTGTGTCAAGGAAAATGTATGGGCTGCCCTCGAGAAGATCAATGAACAGAAATTTCTAGAAAAAATTGGTACTTGGCCACATTAAGGAGACTCTTGCTTCCCAGTTTCCAGTGGGGAAAGATAACATGCCTGTTCTGTTCTTGGTTTCAGGTAACGGTCTCTATAAGCCACAAAGGAATTTGGTATTATTAGCTAAACCTCCTCAAAATCATAAACAGGCTGCATTTAAAAAAATCATTCTTCAAGGTTCTCTCTTTGTACCTTCTCCTTCTCATGCTCACACAGAGTTCTGAAGGTTTCTGTAACCCATATCTTTAAAAAATATGTCTAGAACAGAACAACTCAGGATAAAGAAGACCAAAATACAAGTGGGTCTTTACGGGTTTCCCACAGAGTTATACTTCTGAATACAACACAAGGGGAGGATTTCTGGTGCCAGAGGAGTAGACAACCTGATTCTGTGCTCATTTCTATAGATGGTGGCTTTCAGTGGTGGGACCACTGAAAGGAGACCTAATACTTGGGATGGCTCTGGATTGAAGGTGCATCAAAAATCCAGGACTCACACTCTCAGGAGTCAGATCTTCTCCAGGCCTCAGAAGCAGAACGCTCTTATCCACAGCCCGCAAGGCACAGAATGAGTTGCCGGCAGCTTTGAGGTTAAGGCCAATTCCTGAGGCTGGCAGTGCTTCTTTCTGAGAGAACTGCAGGCTGACCTGGAATTGAATGGAGATGTCAGATATCTGTCAGGGGATCATCTCAGAAGTTATTGTGGTACAGTCTCCACCCATAGCTATTCTGTCTGTTGTGAATGCCTACTTAACAGCTACTGTATATATTCCCTGGCAATTAGCCATAGCTGTCAACTTACGGATTTGAAAATAAGGGACCAGCTGCCTTGGAAATAAGGGATCAGCAGCCAAAATAAGGGATTTTCAGAGCACAGGTATGTTCGACTTCTGAGCCCCTCCGAGCCAAAGGCAGAAAGCCCAGCCAGCAGCCAAAGGAAGCCTCAAGCGATGGTTCCCACAGCACAGCAACCCGGCAAAGGGGATGCAGCAAGGAAAACCACCGTCACCTCTCCGCTGGGAAGCGCTGAGCAAAGGTGAGTCCCCAGGCAACATGGCCATTTTGATCTGCACAAGGCATGCAAGCTCCACCCCCCAGTCATTCTTCGACTCCTTATTGGGTGAGCAATTCAGCCAAGCAACACAGTTGGAGCCTCCCTCCTCCCTGACCGGCAGGGAGGGAGGGAGAGGACCTGCTTCCTTTGAAACTCGGGAAATTTAAGGGACATCATCAATAAGGGACAGCAGCGGGACACGGGGCTGGAATAAGGGACTTTCCCACCAAATAAGAAATGGTTGACAGCTATGGCAATTAGCACAGCATATAATGTCAGGACAACAACAACAAGGACTTTATTTGCGTAGCCAACAGGCCATAGCATCAAAGGACAAACATAATCCCTGGTTGCTGGACAGAGGCAGTAATCATCCCAATCTACAAAAAGGGTCCTATGGCAGATCCAGCGAGCTATAGACCCATTAGCCTCCTTACTATCCCCAGCAAATTGTATGCCAAACACCTCCACATCAAACTAATTGACTGGATGGAAACTGAGGCAGTTCTGGCAGAGGAGCAAGCCGGCTTCAGACAGGGCAGACAAACAATAGACCATTGCTTCGTATTAGCACACCTCATTGACAAATATGTCAACAAAACACGTGGGATTCTATACGCAGCTTTTATTGACCTGAAGGCGGCCTTTGACTTGATCTCACGAGCCAAACTTTGGGCTAAACTCAATGCTATAATGTCAGGACCGTATGACCATAGTTCACTACTTTATAACATGGCATGAGCTCTTCTCAGATTAGGTACAAGCCATCAATGACTCATTAGCATTTTAAATCGTGCAAAAGGTACATGGATTAGGCAAGATACATTGCTACTTTTTAGCTTATTTTCAGCCATCCATAAGACATGCCAACCATTCCACTTGCAATGAACCTTTCCTATTTGACTTTTGTACTCCTTGTCAGCATAAACAGAGTTAGGAATAGAAAACACCCTTTACTCTGAGTGGGGAACAGACTGATCAGCTCTTACCTTGTTTCTGAAGCACTTTTCAACTTCAAAAGAGATGCTATCAGCGATCAGCTCGCCATGAGGATGCAGAGTGTAAACCAGCAGCCTTGCTCTGGGAGCTGCTTTTTGGTCAATCATCAGTGGGATTGAGAATCTGCTATATTGTCCAGCTGTGAGGAAAAACATGAAATTAAAGGAGTCAAGGAAAGAGGTCAAGAGAAGCTGATGAGCTAATGTTGACTGTCGCGTACAAAATTAAGACGGAAGCCCCACCAGGACCTTGCCATTGGTGGTCTTGCTGTCTCCCCTCAGATGGAACCTTGCTGGTTTACACACCACAGAAAAGCTGATCAAGAATTAATTCAGGTCCATGACAGCTAGGGATGTGGAGAAGAAGTGTTACTAGTTTACTGTAACTCTATATTTTCCTTGAAATTCCTCTGATGGCTCAATCAAAGAAGAATATCCAAATTCATGCTAAATCAAATAATTATTATATCCACTGGACTAAGTGACAATCAGTCACTCTGTGGACTCAGCTACACTGGTCAATTTATAACGTTAAAAATGCATTCTATAAATATAACGCCAGATGGCACTGTAGAGCAGCAATCCAAAGTCAATGGAAAATTACACTGGGAGTTGTATATTTTTATAGCATTTTTTAATATCTGTGTAGATCCAGCCTGTGACTTAGGATTTATAAATGGAATTCCTTTTTAAGAGAAAGGTCATGCTAGGAATCATTCTACAGGTCTGCTGATTGTTTCTCCATGACTGCCAAATACCTTCATTTCTCCACAATCAATGAGCAGAATTGGACCACTTACCCTTAATGCTGACTAGCTGTTCACCTCCATCAACAATTCTACCATTCGTCATAATCTGTACGCAAAAAAGAAATCAAGGCATAAATAATTTCCCTAGAAACACTGAGATCCAGCTCCGAGGGCCTTCTGGTGGTTCGCTCACTAGGAGAAGTGAGGTTACAGGGAACCAGGCAGAGGGCCTTCTCGGTAGTGCTGCCCGCCCTGTGGAACGCCCTCCCATCAGATGTCAAGGAAATAAACAACTATCTGACTTTTAGAAGACATCTGAAGGCAGTCCTGTTTAGGGAAGTTTTTAATGTTTGATGTTTTATTGTATTTTTAATATCCTGTTGGAAGCCACCCAGAGTGCCTGGGGGAACCAGCCAGATGGGTGGGGTATAAATAATAATATTATTATTATTACAGTGGATGCTCGGATTGCGAACGTGATCCATGTGGGATGCACGTTCGCAACCCGCAGCGTTTGCAACCTGCGTCTGCGCAAGCGCAAAGCACGATTTGGCGCTTCTGCACATGCGTGACTGCCAAAACCCGGAAGGAACCTGTTGCAGTACTTCTGGGTTTCGGCAGTCCATAACCTGAAAAAACGCAACCTTAAGCCGCTGTAACCCAAGGTATGACTGTATTATTATTATTATTATTATTATTATTATTACTATTATTATTTCTGTCATGGCTCCACTACAGGGTATGGGTCAAGTATATTTGCAGGGCATTTTGTCCGGGACCTGCTTATTTTTTCTTTGTACTCCACTTGGAGGCATTTTAAGCACTTCAGAATAGAAATCAGATTAGCGATGTGATGGTGCTCAGTTTGCAACTCCCACCACCACGTGGACAGAGGTGTTGCGGGTGGTTCCGTACTCATTCAACCCTCAGTGAGGGTTAAAAGCTAAGAGGAAGGTCGTGGCAAAGCCACTTGGCCTTTCTGCACTTACTAGATAGTAGAAGTGAACGTTGGAGGGCAATTCCTCATTTTGAACTTTGTTCAGGATGTAGTGCACGGAGATTGCTTCCTGTTTGTCACACAGCAGTTCACGCAGCACCGGTTCTATCTTCACAAAGCTGTTGGTCCGGGAGAAGTAGCGCTGGACGTAATGAACAGCTTCTGGCTTGTAGGTTTCCAGCCAGCCATACTCAGTGCACTGATCTGGTTCATAGATAGCCTGATGAGAGAAAGGTGCAAAAGAAAGTAAAATATACCAGTAATAGAACATTCCACAGAAGGGTGATGCCTCTGGAAGGGTTTCCCAAAAGGAGTTGTTTGATCATTCCCCTGGATGACTCCACAGATTGGGCTGTAATGCATGTCTCTGGTGGACGGTAAAGGAAGGTTGAGGAATCAGTAGGTTATAAAGAAAAGGAGGGAACATTTTATCACATGTGGTGGGAATGTAAAAAGGTGAAATGCTTCTGGGAGATGATATATAATGAGATGAAAAAAATGTTGAAATATACATTTATAAAGAAACCAGAAGCATTTTTACTGGGCATTGTGGGGAGTGATATAAATAGAAAGGAATGTAAGCTCTTTTTATATGCAATAACAGCAGCAAGAATATTACTGGCCCAAAAATGGAAGCAAGAAGAATTACCGATGATTGAAGAATGGAGGATGAAGTTACTGGACTATGCAGAACTAGATAAACTAACAGGAAGGATTCGAAACCGGCGGGACCAGAAATTCACGGAAGACTGGAGTAAATTTACGGACTATTTGAAAAGTATTTGTGAAGATCAGATGACGTTTGTAGGCTTGCAAGAAGTTTTGTGAGGAGTATTATTGGAAGTATTGCAAAAATGGAGAAGGGGAAGGATGATTTGTTAAGAGATGTAAAGGCAATATAAAGTTAAGAAATGCAAAAGAAGTGGTTAAAACGGTGGATCATCAGAGGTGCTGATGGAAGTCTAAAAAGATTGTATAAGTATATGGAATTGGCAGAAAGGACTGGCAAGATCCGAGACCAGGGGGAAGAGTCGGTGGAAGAAGATTGGAAAAAGTTTAAAGACTATTTATAGAAATATTGTAAAATTAAGGAATGTTAGAAAAATGTTGGAATGAAATTATATGGCTTTAGCAGAAATGTCATAAGGAATTAAGTATAAATAGATTAATAGAAAATTAAAGGAAAAGTATGGCAAGAATGGAATGAGTTAAGATAATTATAGGATAGAAAACAGAGGAAGATGGAAAGGAATTGCTGAAATAATTAACAGAAGTGGAATACAAAAAGGGAGGTGTGAGGAGGTCGTGGAAATAAGTGAATGAAAGATGGGATAATGAAATTGTTTGATTTATTTTATTGTCTTTGTCTTGTTTTGTTAATTTGATGTGTTGTATTGTATTGTTTTTGTTTTTCTTTCTTTCTTTCTTTTTAGTGTCTTTGGAAAAATAATAAATATTATTTTTTTAAAAAAAGATTGTATAAGTGATAAGTTTTGTAGTACATTTTATAATTTATATGTTAAAATCAATAAAAAATATTTTTTAAAAAGAGGAATCAGTAGGTTATGAGGGCTTGACCCACCTGAGCTACCAGTAAAGGGCAGTTTCCCACTTGGTCATATCAACCACCACCACCCACCTCAGTTTTCAGCGACTTACTCTCAATTTGTAGCGAGGTTCAAAGAGGTGACAAGTTGGTATGGAAAACTGGGCACTGCCATTGTTGTCCGTAGTGTAGTTGGCCACAACCTCGCCGTCAAACTCTAGAAAAATAAGCCCGTTTGGCAGTGGTGCTCCATCCTCGTCATTCACCTTCATCTGGGTGTGGGACAGGAAAATGCAGGTGCAAAATGTTTAGGAACAGTGCTTAGCACTTGGACTGATGCAACTAAGTGGTAGCACCCGTTGTGGCAGAGAGCCAGGGATGGAACAATTAGTCTGTTTCTCGTCCATGTCTTTTTCCATTCCATCTTGTCTCTGCATTAATCTGCTACTTGAAAACAACCACCCCACATAATTTGTCCCCCCTTAAAATACACATTTTAGAATTTTGTTCCTCACAGAGATCATCCCCATTGTCCTACCTGTCCAGTCAAAGGGATCCCTCTTCTATAATATGGATCTACATTCTCCAATATGATGGTTTTTCTTGCTTGATAGACGGAGATGTAGTCAGACTTTGAAATCTGGATGCCTGTCAGATACATAAATGCATAAAAGAATCTGTAAAAGAAGCTAGATTATATAGATATCTGGAGTACTCAGGTGCTGAATATGGTGCCCAGAGAGGCCAATTCTCAGAGTAAGATTTTCAAAGCTCCCCCTTCCTATTCTGTTGTGCCGCATTATAAAACAGTTACCTGTTCCCTTCTCTGTGACGACTGCCTCTGCATGGAGCGACACATAAAAATAACGCTGCGTATGCATGTTTGCGTAAAGGCGGAATGCTTTGGTGCTGATCGTTTTGGAAACGCTGCCATCTTTGTCCAGCTGAAAAAGGAAAGAAAATTACGATAAAAGTGTGGAAGGTATGTGGAACTTCCCTGGGGGTTGTCATGTTAGTCTGCTGCAGCAAAGCAATCAAAAAGTATGCTGAAGAATTAGAACTATTTCAGTATAGGCTTTTGTGATCAGTGGCTGCTCACTGGAAGTATGAAAAAGTCTAAGTTGCTACGAACACATGTATGAGAGGGAGTGGGGGAACGGAACAGAAGTAATAGCTTGTAAATGGGACAGAACCAGACAACCACATAATAGAAGGAGTAGTGATACATTTCTGAACCAAGCCCGAACATAAACAAGATCAAATTGGGGACTAATGAATGGTAAGTTGCACAGCAACTGAGAAAGAATGATCACCTGTAAAGAAACAAATTGCTTTTCAGTGTTGGGAAAGTCCCTTCCTCCAGTTACAATGGATCCCAAATTCTTCAGTGTAAAACAGTGCTGACTGTTCTTTACATGGCCCAGGAAAATTATTCCTTGGCTTTATCTAGAAGAATCAGGCTTACAGGCTTATATACTGCCCACCTCTGTCAGAGGGCATTAGTGGCTGTATCAAAGGGAAAGATAGGATAAGTCATGAGCATACTGAAACCCTTTGTTTCTTGGGATGATTCACTCTAAGTCCTTGGGAGTGGGTTCTCCTAATGACCCATGTCAGGAGATTGCTACTTGCACAACAAGGCTTCCCCCAGCTCTTCCCTTTCCGTAGTTGGAAGAATTGGGACAACCCCCAGAACAGGGCAGCAGGGGAGGGGAGGAGAGAGGGATTGTTCTGTTCAGTAAGCTGCAACGCTTGCACCAGTGTCCTTATTTTCCAGGAACTGTCCCAGATTTACAGAAGATTTGATCCTGGAATGTCCTGCTTTTCCTTAAGATGTCCCTATTTTCATTGGAGAAAGTAAGCCCTACTCACTTCAACAATACTTGCGCCAAGACAAGCAAGTTATAGGACTGCAGCCTGAATGTATACAATATAGGGTTGAACATTTTCTTCAAACTTTATCAGGACAAGCACACTACCGAACCAGCTTTTTAAAGCAGTACCAAAACAAAATATATAGTCAGACAAGGGCAAATTGACTGGCAGCCTGACTCGTTTTGCTGCCTAAGTGAAACAGGAAAGTGCTGTGACCACACTGCCTGCACCTCACTGGGTTGTGTGGCTATAGCTTCTGGCTTCTAGTGTGTGATGGCCTGGGACTCAGACTCGGGCTCAGAACCAGTGGAGTCTCAGTCTGCACCGGATCCTTTGCCTCAGGCGGCATCTGAACCAAGTCTGGGGCCTGATTTTGAAGAGCCCCAGTCTGCACAGGTTCCCCTGCAACAAGCACCAGCTGGGCCGAGTCAGGGGCCTGAGCCTGCCCTAGCTCCAGATGCTGGGAGTACCTCGTTGCCTTCAGCTGGGCCATCACTTACAGCTGCTCCACTACCAATTGGGTCAGGAGAGGCTGAGGTGGCCTCTGGGTCTAGTAACCCACCGATGTCTCCCGAGCTGCAGAGACTAAGGTCTGAGAGAAGGAGAGACCTGAGTACTTGCAGGAGGAGTGCTCACCTTTGGGCGAGACAGGGAGGTGAGTCAGCAGGGGATCGGTAATACCGGCTGTTACCCCGACAAAGATAAAAGGCTGTCGGACCCTTCCCCAGGTAGCGGGAGCAACATTGCTGTTTGCTAGAACCTGCCTGAGACCCTGTGCCTGACCTAGCCTAGTTTCCTGCCTTGTGTCCTGCCTTGGCCCTGTCGGACTGACTCCTCGCGAAATCCTTGGATTCGGGACTGGACCGCATTGCTCTGGTTAACCCCCGGGTCCAGCACATAGTGAAATCTTGCAGGAGCTCCACAAAATCTCACCAGAACCAGGAAGCTGCAACTGCTTCTCATTGTTTCTTCAGCTGCTGTGGCTGTGGCTGTGGCGGCAGGCAGGCAGGCAGGCAGACAGACAGACAGACAGACACCCCTTGCCATAGGAGAAGTAGCAACAGCAGCAAGAATTTGTGAGATCTCACCAGAAGCCAGCACTTCTTCTCCTTGCTTCTCTGGCGGTAACTCCCATAGGTGTGCCACCCCTTGTGATTCTGCTGCCCGAGGTGGCTTCCTCAGTCCACCTCATAAGCAGGCTGGCCCTGGCTGAGACTCTCATCAAATGATGGGCCTAAAGTTTGCTAGTGAATCCCACTTTTGCACACCCTGAAGCTGGCCATCAAGCTGTGTGATAAGACTGGTATTCCATGATGAGTCTACTTGGGCTAAACAACTAACAGTTCAGTCCTGTGGCACTGTGGGCTTCATTCGGCCAACACACTCAGGGAAGCATGAGGAACTACATACTTTCTGATACCATCTCTAATACTCCCACAACATCTATCTGCAAAAAAGTCAGTAACAACACTACACAAGTTTGAAGCAGGTGAGGAGTAACATTTCTGATGAACCATAAAGCCCAAAACATGCAACCCTAATGAATAAAGTAGGAGAAAACATTCAGTTCTTTAGAGTGTCTCCAAATATACCCTGATAAAATTTCAAAAGCAGCCTGCTTTGGGTTTTTGCCTGAAAACATTCTACAGTGGCCCGGAGGACCGATTTTCCTGTTACCTGAGCACTAACAGCTTCACAAATCCCATTGGAATCTCGATTACATCTTGGATCGTAATAGCGATGTCTGCACACTCTGATCTGGACTGTCCCTTGAACAGGTTGGCCAAATGTATAACTAACAGGACAAAACATAAATTAAATCAGTTGAGAGAAAGAACAATTCAGATCATGCTGCAAGTCTCAGTCTAGTCACAGGTTAAGTGACTGACTTCAGGCAAGCCTACATTTGACAGGGAGCCATTTGGAATAACTGGATTTCACGCCAGCAAGACTCGGAATTCCACAATGCATTCCAGACATTTGCAAATATGGCTTCTTTGCTTTGAGAAACATGTGTAGTTTGTGTGTGTGTGAATGGGGGGTGGGGACCTAGTATTGCCCAGAAACATCTCAGTGCTGCTGTAGGAGATTACCTCACATTCTCCAAGGGCTCATCCAGACATGTGCTTGTCTTGTGCTGATGGTTTTCCGCTTGTCTCATGCTTTCTAGGCAAGAGTCTGAGCGGTTTTATCCTTGCCCCAGTGCTTTCCCCAGGAAAACCCACTCTTGAGCGATAATTCACAGCAGATGTCAATCCAGGCAAAACCCATCAGCAGTAAATATTGGATTTTCTTGGGGGAAGCTGCAGGGCAAAAGTAAGCCTGGATGAAACCAAAGTCTTTGTTGTGGCCAGTATGTGCTACCTTTCAGAGCAAGGTGGAATATAACAGAACCCTGATCCCCACTTTGAAAATGCTTCTTCCCTAGGCAGCGCCCAAAGTTCCCCTTAGACTCCAGTCAAGGCAGAAATCAGGATCAGCCCTGGACAAGTTGATACAGTTCAGCCTCAGTTCCAACTACCTGTTTCCATTGGGATTGTGGGACAAAATAGTATCCTTTCCCCCTCCAAATTTCAAGATGCTGAAATGCAAATTTCCACATACACTTGCTCTACCTCATAAACTTACTGAGCACTGACGTATACTTGGAATTCTTCATCGAAAGCAGAGATCCTGTCTGGTGTTTTGATGTCCATCTTGAACTTTGGCAACACTGAAAAAAATATATAACAAATGTGATTAAGAAAGTCTAGTCAGGCCAAGTAACAGATTGGATATATGGCATAACGAGGAAGGTGGTCCCTTTGAGACAACTGCTTAGACATGAGGAGGAATTATTCGGAGGGCAAAAATAAACAAGGATACAAATGACTTAAAAGTGTATCTTGACCAACATTAAAAAACCCCAATAGATTATGATGAAAAAGAAACAAACAAGATTGATGATTTTGGAATCATGGTTTTGGAACAGAAATGTATTATATGAAGGTATGGAGGGATCAGAGCTATTCCTTTTTTCACCTGCTTATGGGATGGCAGGAGAAATTTCATGCACAGCCATATAATAAGCTGCTAGCGGCCTTGCAGTTGGTCTACTGGTCAGTGACTTCCTCCTATCATTTATAGACGCATCTGAAACTTGTTAGGGGTCCTGTTATATCACTTAAACACTCTGCTCATTTTTTCGTATACATGTTTTCATTTTCTCTGCCAAACTTCAAAAATCAGATGCTCATAGACTTAGGTTCTATGAAAAAGTAGCTATAGAAAGTTTTGGGTAGGTTATTTTATCCATGCACCAAAATGCTGCCACTAATACCAAATCAGATTTCTAAAGCAGATAAGCTTCACAGTGGTACTCACCATATTCTTCCATAGTGAACCAGTGATGGGTATTATAGTTTGGTGGATTCTCAACAACGATTTGGTAGGATCCCAACAATGCTCCTGTAGTTATTACGCATTCTAATTGGAGGATGCCAAAGGAAGGTGTTTGATTCAGCCACTGAGCAATCCGATTTCCTTGAGGATCCTGGGAAAGCAGCAAGAGATAAACCATGCCATTTTCTACAATATTTTCTTCAATCTATGAGACCAGCTTTAATGGAGTTGGGTCAGTGAGATTCAGTTTATGAATCTCTATGCCTTATCAACATTTAGTCATTGTCAACTGGAATGCCTTGCTAGCAATCCATCAGCATTGGATATCTTCAGTAAAAGATCATAAAGGACTGCAAGGCCGGACAGAGCACCAAACTGCCTATACCATAAAAAGTTGCTTAAGGTTTTCACCAAGCCAGTCATCATTTCCTGGAATATATATATAGCCTGCATAAAGGCCATTTTTGCAAAGGATATGCTCAATATACTGTAATTTAAGAGTTGTTATGAATAATATTTTGATGAAAGGAAAGATTCTGTTGACATGAAAGGAGGCATATATTACTTTAATTCCAAAACAAGATACAGATTTATTACAAGTTAAAAATTACAGACCAATATTATTGCTAAATAATGATTACAAACTATTTGCCAGTATTCTAGCGGACAGGTTGAAGGAAATTTTAATGGAGGAGATACACAAAGATCAAGTGGGCTTCCTCCTGGTCAACAAATGAAAGATAATGTGAGAAATATACTTGATATAATAGAATATATCAAGACCAGGAATGATAAGCAAGCTGCATTAATATTTATTGATGCAGAAAAAGCATTTGATAACATCTCTTGGCATTTTATGAAGAAAAATTTGGAGATGATGGATATAGGACAACCTTTCCTTAAAGGGATAGAAGCTGTATATTCTGAACAAAGAGCAATAGATTAGTAAAGATTAGTTTGGCCTTTATGCACCTCAGACGTGGGGAAATGGTACCCTTGGCATTGTCAATGTGAATTACATAATAGATAGATCAAATTAACTATCCAGAAGAACCATAGGGCTTTTTTGTTTGTTTGTTTGTTTGTTTGTTTAAAGGCAGAATGTCATATGTGCTGGCATTTCTAGCCACCTTCTAGCCACTGTTCAGTGAAAAATAAAATATGCAAAGGCGACATGAATAGGAATTCTGAATACATGTGAAAGTGACATGAACCAGAATTAAGAGTAACCCACCCCCAGTTCCAGCTAAGGAAATTCACTCTGGGGCCATCATTCCTCTGCAGAAGTATTAGTTTCCTGAACACAAAAATACCTACAAGGGCCCTCAAAAAAATAAAGAAAAGAAAAGAAAAGGCAAAAGGAGTGAGCTTAGGTTGAGTCAGTCCATTTACCGTATTTTTCGCTCTATAGGACGCACCCAACCATAGGACGCACCCAACCATAGGACGCACCTTGTTTTAGAGGGGGAGAACCAGAGAAAAAAATTCTCCCCTCTCTGCTCAGCGCCCCTTCAGTGAAGCGGCAGGAGAAACGGAAGGGCTCCATTTCTCCTGCCGCTTCACTGAGGGGGCGCTGCACAGAGAGGGGGAGAATTTTTTATCTGGTTTTCCCCCTCTAAAACAAGTTGCATTCTGTGCATTCAAGGTGCATTCACCTGAAGCCTTCGGAGCGCAGCGGGAGTTCCCGCTGCGCTCTGGAGGCTTCAGGCGGCTACCTTGGAAGCCTGGAGAGTGAGAGGGGCCACTGTGCACTGACCCCTCTCAGTCTCCAGGCTTCAGTGAAGGCAACCCGAAGCCTCAGGAGCGCGGCGGGAGTTCCCGCTGGGCTACGGAGGCTTTGGGTTCCTTTTGACCTGCTCTTTGGGGCTGGCAGGGGGAAGCACTGCTTTCCCCCACCGCCAGCCCCAAAGAGCAGGTTGGGGAACAGCGGAATGGCTGCGCACAGCCTTCCCGCTGTCCCCCAAGCTTGTGGGGCTGGCAGTGGGGGGAAACGCTGCTTTCCCCCACCGCCAGCCTCAAAGATCCCTGAAGCTTTCGGACAGCAGCGCGAGTTCCCGCTGCGCTCCACAGGCTTCGGGTTCCTTTTGCTGAAGCCGGGAGAGCAAGACTCTCCTGGCTTCAACGAAAGGAACCTGAAGCCTCCGGAACGCAGCAGGAACTCGCACTGCGCTCCGAAGGCTTAAGGCGGCTATCCCTGAAGCCTGGAGAGCAAGAGGGGTTGGTGCGCACTGACCCCTCTCGCTCTCCTGGCTTCAGTGAAGGCAACCTGAAGCCCCCGGAGCGTGAAGGTAGTGCTCCCTCTGCACTTCGGAGGCTTCGCGTTGCTATCGCTGAAGCCAAGGAGCCTGCATTCGCTCCATAGGATGCACACACATTTCCCCTTAATTTTTGGAGGGGGAAAAGTGTGTCCTATAGAGCAAAAAATACGGTAACTCTAGAAACATGTTTTATGTTACGTTTCATGCTCAGCATTATTGCCCATTAGCCAGTAAGTATAAAGCCCTGGTGCTTGGGATTTGCTGCAATTGAGAGGCCAGTTCTTTGAATCAAGGCAGCAGGCAAAAAGCTTTAAATAGCTTGGTGTAGCTCTTACCTGGATGTAGATTGCAGGATACTGGAAAAGAAAGAAAGAAAGAAAAAGGTCAACAATGCATTTGAAGGGCAACAGAACGATTTTTTATTTTTAAAACATCAGAGTTCCTTGGAAACCTTTTGAGTTGCAGCTACACTCACCATTTCGTTCACTGGCTTGAAATCTTTATCCATTGAAACAACTCTAAACATCACTAAAAAGAGGGGAGAGGAAATAAACCCATTTACTCTTTTTAAAAATACGGTTGGTTCAAAATCACATTTCTACAGACTTTTCGCTCATGTTTACATCCATGAGCGATGTAACATTCTAGTGATTAGTGGAACTTTATTTGGTAATTAACTAAGTTGAAAGTATCCAGGATTTGCCAGTCTCAAAAGTAAATATAGAATTGTCAACTGAGCTCATAAAGCCATCATCTTTAATATTATGTGTATGCTATCATTTGCGTGGCGAGTTCCCATCTCCCCCCAGTAGGAATAAAGACACACGACACTGTTATATTCGATTAATGGGCTAAAATTGCCCGCAACTTTATTGGTTACAGGTGATGAGCGGTATTGGCTTAGGCATTGGTCCTAACCGACTATCCGGCTTCAGCCTGTTTGCATGAAGACCGGGAAGGGTTAACACCAGCAGGGGGAGCCCTGCTGATACACATCAACTAGGCACTCCCCCAGGGGTCACAGCTCGGGGGCGTGCCTTAGGCCCTCACCTCCATAGGCTTCTGACAGGGCCACGCCCCCGGAATCCTTTATGGGACTACCCTTCAATATGCGGGGGAGGTGATGGCGCTTCTTCCCCCCTTCCATCCACATAACAATACCCATACCAGTGCCTAACCGCCAATGCCGAGGAAGTTGTGACGATTTGCTACGAGGTAGGCGAGAAACCAAGTGGCTGGTGCCAATTTGCCAAGTGGAAGAAATTCCTACCAGGCCCCTTAAAGGCAAACAACCGAGGTCCATAACAAGGTCAGAAGGAAAACCTTGAAGGGCAGGCGGGCGGGAAACCGGAGCCACTGAGCGGCCTGCATTAACTAGTGCAGGCCACACCCCCGGAGCCAGCCGATTGGCTGGCCAGGGGATGACGCAGCCGAGGATTCCCCTAATCGCACGGAGGCTAAGAGCCAGCCCCTGCAAGCTTGGTGGGGGCATGAAGCCCGCAACACCACTTCCTCCTTAGGTCGGAAATGGCCATACTGTATTAGCACCTCAAAGCACCATACCTAAGCACGCCCTAAAGTGGGGGGATGGGACAACAAATGCAGATGCTTTAGAAATTGTGGTTGTGCATTTTGCACAACCTTTTGTGAAGGGGTTTCCCCGCATTCAGCCTCCCACCTCCCTCACCCCCCTGGCCCCACTGTTCCCCTCAATTCACGTAAGATGGGCAGGGACCAGGGGCAGACAGCCAGCTCCCATGGGCAACTTGACCTGTAGCTCCAGCCTCTTGCCTATGTTGGCGTCAAAAGAGACTTGAGTGTGGAGGAGGAGGAGGGCGGAAGAGACGTCTGGTCAGTGTGGTAGAGATGGCCAAGCAGCAGCAGACCCACACCATGCTAGACTAGTGGGTGGTGGCTAAGGGGGAGCCCCAGTGAGAGGGAAGGAAGGAGGGGGCGACACAACCGCCATTTGGGGCCAGCTGAAGGTGTCCTGTTGGAAGTCCAAATGGGACAGGGGACACTTTTGTCCAAAAATGGGGTGTTCCCATTTTTCTAGGGACAGGTGGCAACCCTACTTGTTGGCTCAGTGAAGGAAATTCTTCAGTTCTCTGAGAGGTAGTTGCAGGGATTTACAATGCATGCTGAACTCACCTTTCTGGTCGGGTTTGTAGACCGGTTTATCTGTCTGGACAAAGACAAGTGTACTTATGTTTCGAACAGCCACAGACCTCCTTTCATGGAAGCTGATCAAGGCGCCTTTAGCTGAAAAAACTATGTAAGCTAGTGGATTAGAATCGGCAGGAGGAACCTGTGTGTGAGAAAATAGTCAAGAGGGGAAGAGTTAATAAAAGCTGATCCGTTTATCTTTTCACTCTAGAAATTGACAAGAAGTGCATCAGGTTAATAGGCCTGTTTGTATCAGGATTTCTGAAAGCTGTTAACAATCCTATTCTGTCAGTGGCCAAATAAATGCCTGTGGGAACTCTACAAACATAACACAAACGTAAAAGCACTCTATGCTCCTGTGTTTTCCAGAAACTGGACTGTGGGTGCAGAACATAGCGAACACAGCTAGTAGCTACTGGTAGCATTATTCTCCATGAATTTTTTGAAATGGATTTTAAAGCCATCTATGCTGGTGGCCAAAGGGATGTGGGTGGCACTGTGGGTTAAACCACAGAGCCTAGGGCTTGCCGATCAGAAGGTCGGTGGTTCGAATCCCCGTGACTGAGTGAGCTCCCGTTGCTCTGTCCCTGCTCCTGCCAACCTAGCGGTTCGAAAGCACATCAAAGTGCAAGTAGATAAATAGGTACCGCTCCAGTGGGAAAGTAAATGGCGTTTCTGTGCGCTGCTCTGGTTCGCCAGAAGCGGCTTAGTCATGCTGGCCACATGACCCGGAAGCTGTACGCCGGCTCCCTCAGCCAATAAAGCGAGATGAGTGCTGCAACCCCAGAATCGGTCGTGACTGGACCTAATGGACCGGGGTCCCTTTACCTTTTATGCTGGTGGCCATAATTGCCTCCTGTGATAGTTTCTCAACCTCTCAACCTTTCATCAGCCTTTCTCAACCTGTGGGTCCCCAGATGTTGTTGAACTACAACTCCCATCACCCCTAGCTAGCAAGGCCAGAGCTCAGGGATGATGGGAGTTGTAGTCCAACAACATCTGGGGACCCACAGGTTGAGAACCACTGGTCTACATGAATAAACACTTTCTTTTGTCTGTATGGAATCTTCCAACATTCAGCTTCCTTAGAGACCCACAAATTCCAGTGTTATGAGAGAGGGAGTAAAACTGCCCACTTTTCCCATGCCACATAATTTTTTACGCACTTCTATCATGGCACGTCTTCCTTGCCTGTTCTCAAAACGAAAAAGTCCCTAATGCTGCAACATTTCCTCAAAGATGAGCTGTTCCATCCCCTCCTACTGAACCTTTCCCAACACTATAATCTCCTTTTTAAGGTGAGGCAACCAGAACTGTACCCACTATTTGAAATACAGTTGCACCATAGTGTTGTACAATGGCATCATTTGGGAGGTTTAGCATGGAATTTGCCTTCTTCACAGCTGCTACACACTGGGTCAACATCTTCAATGAGCTATCTTTTATGACCTCCAAAGGTCTCATTCCTGATCAGTCACTGCTAGTTCAGACCTCATGAGCATGTTGTTGTTGTTTAGTCGTTTAGTCGTGTCCGACTCTTCGTGACCCCATGGACCATGAGCATAGATGTGAAATTAAGGGGGTTTTTTGCCCTGAAATATATCCCTTTACCCTGGTTTACATTGAATTGCATTTGCCATTCTACTCCCCATTCTCTGAGTTTGGAGAGGTCCTTTTGGATCTCTTCACAATCTGCTTTTGTTTTAACAACCCTGAACAATTTAGTATCATCAGCAAATGTGGACAGTATAATCAGCAAACTTTAGTATCATCAGCAAACTTCACAGCGAACTCCTAACCCTAGACTGTTCATTAAGAAGTTAAAAAGCAAAGGTCCGAATACAGATTCTTGAAGAACTAAACTTTCTACAGCTCTCCTTTCAGAGAACTGTCCATTTATTCCTACTCTCTGCTTCCTGCTACTTAACCAATTTCTGATCCACAAGAAGCCCTTTCTTCTTATTCTATGACTGCTAAGCTTACACATGAGTGTTTGATGAGAAACCTTTCTGAAAGTTTTCTGAAAGTCTATATTGCTTGTTGACTCTCACAAAGAACTAACTCCTGTCTCCTTAATTCCTGTAGGGAGACGGGACTTATCCTTGCAGAAGCCATGCTGGATCTGCTTTAGTGAGGCTTGTTCTATATCTTTGATTATGTTAGCTTTCACAATATTTTCCACCAGTTTTTCCAGGACAGACGTTAATCTAACCAGCCTGTAATCTCCAGTATCACCCCTAGAACCCTTAAAAAAATAAAAGGTTTTATCAGTCCTCAGATATGGAGGCTGATCTGAGGGCAAGGTACATATTTTTGTTAGAAGATCAGCATTTTCACATCTGAGTCCTTTGAGAACTCTCCAGTGAATGCCATCCAGACCCAGCGATTTGTCAGTTTTTATTTCTTCTATTAGGCCTAGAACCAGGGCCGGATTTAGGTTTGATGAGGCCCTAAGCTACTGAAGGTAATGGGGCCCTTTATATGTCCAGCTGTCCTTTGTCAACAACAGACTGCCACTGTTTTTTGTGTTGAATATATGTTATATGGTAATTTAAGGACCTAATAGGTATCTAAAGCCATTTGCACATAACAAAATATGTATTTTATCAAAGTACATTCAGTTTTTTCCCTTTAAATTTTTTTGGGGGGGACCCCAAGAGAGTGGGGCCCTAAGCTATAGCTTGTTTACCTTATACATAATTCTGGCACTGCCTAGAATGTCATCTCTCACTCCTCTGCCTGCCTCAGTTCCTCATACTCACTTCTTGCAAAACATCTTGCCCTGCCCATGGGCGTAGCCATGGGATTTTTGTTAAGGGGGGCAGGCTTTTGTTAGGGACGGCAGAACCTCAGATTTGTTTTGCTTTTTATTGATTGGGGGCAGCTGCCCCCCTGGCTATGTCCCTGCCCGTGCCTTAGTCTCTGCCACTAGGACAAATGTACATACATATGGGGGCACTAAAAATCAGAAGAGATAGCACCACTCACCCTTAACAATCACCTTCATATGCAGCAACTTTCATCCCAAATGGGGTGAAAAACAGTTACAAGATATGATTATTATTTCATTTTTACATGCTACTCCCTCCCCCGGCCTTTCTCTCCGTGTTTGGCAATGCAGGATGATGCAAGAAAAAATGAAGAGTTCTTTACCGAAAAATTGATACATTGGGAAAAGTGTTTTTCATCCACAGTCCCTTCCCAAAGGGGAAAGCGGTCCACGTTGTACTCCAGCACAACATCCACAGAGACCGTCTCATTGAGGTTGAGGAGTTGCACGCAAGCCTCATTTGTAGTGTTGCTCTGAACTACTGCAGGCACGATCAGGATGTACTGCCTGCAATAAAGAGAAGGGTACAGCTTGTCAGTAACAAGTCACTATCAAGGGACATAGTTTGAAAGCAACCAGCAATGCAGAGAATTGGGACTAAATTCTAAGCAAAAAAGAAATCTTTAAGGAGAGCCAAATCTGTCAAATTGGCTCAAGGGAAACAGCTCATTGTTTTACATCACAATATACCTTGCAATGGAATATTTGGAGACTCTTGAGAGTCCCATGGACTGCAAGAAGATCAAACCTATCCATTCTGAAGGAAATCAGCCCTGAGTGCTCACTGGAAGGACAGATCCTGAAGCTGAGGCTCCAATACTTTGGCCACCTCATGAGAAGAGAAGACTCCCTGGAAAAGACCCTGATGCTGGGAAAGATGGAGGACACAAGGAGAAGGGGACGACAGAGGATGAGATGGTTGGACAGTGTTCTCGAAGCTGCCAGCATGAGTTTGACCAAACTGCGGGAGGCAGTGGAAGACAGGAGTGCCTGGCGTGCTCTGGTCCATGGGGTCACGAAGAGTCGGACACGACTAAACGACTAAACAAACAGGACAATGTGTTCTGTTTTTCCTTTAGTATTGTCTCGTTGTTGTTTTATTGTGTGTATGCATATGATCTTATTGGTAAATTTGAAATGGAAAAAATGATATCCACTCTATTTATCCACATAGTTCACCCCCCCCCCCAAGCTTTTATGCAGTCATGACAGAAAGGCAGAGTATTTACTTGGCATCCACTTCCATCACTCTCACTGTGGACAGAAGTTATTGCTGAAAGGGGGCGAAGTCACATTTATTTGACCTTCTAAATGGAACAGGGGAGGGAGGACATATGGGGAAGCATTTGTGTGGGAAAGGGGTGCAGCAGCCTGGCAGCATGACACCCATTCCTTACCCCACCCCAGGTACAACCTGGGAGATAGGACAATAAGTGAACAGTCATTTTCTGTGCAAACTATTAACCAAAGTTACCGTGGAACATGTGCCAAGTGGAATTCCCCCCTGAATGACTCGCCATAAAACTTGGTGGAGTAGGTTTTCAGATTGGAGAACCGTGTGCATCAAGCAATTGTTCACCCCACCCCACTTTCCAGCGCATCTTCCTTCTTTGCGCAATGTTTGCTTTCTTGAGTTTGTTGCACAAGAGTGCCAAACCAACTTCAGTTGCGTAACTCGAATGTACTGGCATTTGACTGAATCCCACACACAAGACAATGATGCTTGACAAGCATCATGAGACCCTCAGGAGCAAACCTGGTTATGAGTAAAAAACTTTGCTTCAGGATGAGAATCGAAATTGTGCTCCGGTGGCACGGCAGCAGCGGGAGACCCCCATTAGCTAAAGTGGTGCTTCAGGTTAAGAACAGTTTCAGGTTAAGAACAGACCTCTGGAACGAATTAAGTTCTTAACCCGAGGTACCACTGTATTTGTTCACCTAGGGCTCTGGGTGAGTGGCGTTTGCTGCACAGCACAGCTGTGGGTGGTCTGGGGGGGGGCTCCATCTTCTGGCGCATCTGGGAGATGGGGTAGTCACCTGGTGCCAGCCACTTCCAACCACACTGGGCCCTCCATTCCGGGCAGGCCTGACCCTCAAGGCCAATTGGAGCAGGTTCCCGGGTCCTACCTGCCCCTCTTGTATTTAAAATGGTGCCCAGGTGCAGGACGACAGCTTTGCTGAGTGCCACAGGACTTTCCACCCACCCAGCCTGCCTGTTAGGGCCCTGCCAGTGAGGGAACTGGCAAGTTGGCATATGGACCTTGCTGTGGTTTACTCAGCCACCATATTCAGGGCCAAGGAGGAATTTTCTCCTGCAAGCAAACTGGCCGGCTTGCAGATTTTCACCTACCTCATAGCAACTGTCATAACTTGGGCGGATAAGGCATTGGGCTGGATCCTTCGTTGCGGGGGTATCGCATAAAAGGGGTCCAGGAGGAGTGACTCTGTCTGGGAGTCCACACAGAGACCAATTGGCCATTGTACCTCATCCAATCAGAGGGTCGACCCCAATGAGTTCCTATCGGGCAGTGTGCCGACTGCCGGATGCTGGGTGCATGCCTAGTGCCTTAGCCAAACCTGCTCTGTCCTGTCATCAATAAGGTAAAGGGACCCCTGACCATTAGGTCCAGTCATGACCAACTCTGGGGTTGTGGCGCTCATCTCGCTTTATTGGCCGAGGGAGCCGGCGTACAGCTTCCGGGTCATGTGGCCAGCATGACTGAGCCGCTTCTGGTGAACCAGAGCACCACACGGAAAGGCCGTTTACCTTCCCGCTGGAGCGGTACCTATTTATCTACTTGCACTGGTGTGCTTTTGAGGTTGGCAGGAGAAATCAATAAAGTTGTGGCCTAATTCAACCCAATACCAGTCTCCTGTGTCCATTCTCTTGACCCTCCCCACACTGGCTGGGAACGTCATGCGTCTGTGGCAGCAATGGACTTTAGAATTAGTATAGCCCTGTTTTGGATTTGTCTGCTAAAGAAACAGGATCCTTTGCTCTTCTGTGGAGGTTTTCAAGCAGAGGTTGGATGGTCATTTGTCATGTATGGATTTGGTTGAGATTTCTGCATTGCAGGGGGTTGGACTAGATGACCCTCAAGGCCCCTTCCGACTCTACATTCCTGTGATTCCTCTCTCTATCCTGCTTTTCATTGTCTTTTTGTGTGGTTCCTCACCCTCTTCATTCCCTAGAAATTGGGCTGGGTTACGAACCGGTAACACCAGTGTTTCGTTGCCATTCCTGCTGTCTCTCTCTTTTGTGTCTCTTGCTGTCAATCTCTTGCTGCCCTAGTTAATCAGGGTGGAGACTGAAGTATTCACTTTGCAGCAATGAAAGCAACTCCTTCAAACCAAGCTCTGTAGTTGACTTCTTAAAAAATAGGATTACTTTACAACTTACATGCCTTACGCACTCTAATAATAAATAATAATAATAATAATAATAATAATAATAAAGCAGACAGACAGATTCATGGGTCCTATTCTGAGGCACTACAGTGGTACCTCGGGTTACATATGCTTCAGGTTACATTCACTTCAGGTTACAGACTCCGCTAACCCAGAAATAGTGCTTCAGGTTAAGAACTTTGCTTCAGGATGAGAACAGAAATCAGGCTCCAGCAGCACGGCAGCAGCAGGAGGCCCCATTAGCTAAAGTGGTGCTTCAGGTTAAGAACAGTTTCAGGTTAAGTATGGACCTCTGGAACGAATTAAGTACTTAACTCGAGGTACCACTGTACCAGTTAGTCAGTAGTAGGAGCCAGTGTGGTTCAGGAGCACAACAAAGCCACCATCTCTGTAGCTTACCTGGTTGGTATTGGGCTCGCAAGGTGCTGACACCATCAGAAGCCCTAGATTAATTATGGTTGTGCACCTGTGCAAGCCCAACCTCACCACTGATGCTTCCCCAGGTATTCTGCAGAGATGCTGGTGTCAGGAGGCTGTATCCTCCTGGGCTGCCACATTACATCTGCCACTGCTGCATTCAACATGCATCTTTAAGGAACACCTGCCCACCACCAAACGGCTGCGCCTAATAGACCACCACCTGAGTTAGTTTTTTGCAATTGCCACCACCAGGCTTTTGACTCCAAAGCAGGAAAATGCTACACACAGACGTGATTACTTACGGGTCTGGAGGAGCTGCGATACTTAAAGGAGCAAGGAGGGCCACCAGAAAAATCCAGGAGCCCATCTCTGCTCTGGTGTGGGAAAGATGAAAGTGAGGACCGAGTCCTGTGCCTTTTAAACTGCTTTGGTGAACTTGCTCCACCTCTTCCTCTAAAGTCCCGTGGCAAATGTGAGGAGCAAGATTTGCATACTGCCACACATTTCCTTCCTCTCTCTGTTCTTCTGTTGCTGCTGCCCTTTGCATTGGTTTCAGGAGATTCCTGTATTGCTGAAATACTTGACTTCTCTCTCAGGTAGGTCACATCCAGTCTGCACACGTTGCCAAAAGGTTTGTCAACAGCAGCCCAGTACGTCACTCACTTAAATCCAGCGTTTGTTCTAGCGCTGTTATTGCAGAAGAGCCAAATTGTTCAAAGCACAGTGTGCTTATTTTGCTGGAGGGCAATTAAAGCAGGGAATAAGTAGGTCCTGGCCAAACTCCACAAAGTAGAAGATAATTCCTCCAGGGATCTAAAGAAAGGAATTCCAAAGGCTCTGTTACATTTTAACCAACTTTCTTCCCCCAGACAGCATTGCCTATTCCAGTCTGGGCAGCTGATGTTACTGTGTGTTGATGACCTCAAAGACACAAAATCTTCATCAACATGCCCCCAAGAATCATCTGAGTCAGACTTTGGTTGAGAGGATAAGCGCTTTGTCCTGGTTAGGTGCACAGTTGTGGTGATTTTTTATTTATGACACACTTAAAATTTCTGGGCCTTGTTAAAAATAACAAAGGCCTCGCTTGCAAATGTACAATATAAAAAAAAAGACACACACATCCAGAAGGTGATATCTTTTTAAAGGAGTTTCTGTATAATTCTTCTGCCTTTATTCTGAGTTACTGAAAAATTATGGGGTTGAAATGTTCGTCTCACATCTGAAATGAGCAGCATGTGCCCCTGAGGTTCATATTTCCATGACAGGAAACAACTGATTTTAATTGATGCCCAAAATGTTAGCAGAGTTTCACGCCTCAGGCCAGGATCCCGTTTCCCAAGATCTGACTGCAGGGCTGAGAGTCATGATGTTTTGTTTTCCATTTTTATTTTTTATTGAAAGTATTTCAATTGAACAAAATAAAAGAATAAAAAGAAAAGAAAAAAAGATACATTATACCACTATATATGCAAACAACTACAATTTCCTATATGCTTGTCTAGTATATAGCTATATAAAGGTTAAAGGTAAAGGGACCCCTGACCGTTAGGTCCAGTCGTGGACGACTCTGGGGTTGCGGCACTCATCTTGCTTTATTGGCCGAGGGAGCCGGCGTACAGCTTCCGGATCATGTGGCCAGCATGACTAAGCCGCTTCTGGCGAACCAGAGCAGAGCACGGAAACGCCGTTTACCTTCCCACTGGAGTGGTACCTATTTATCTACTTGCATTTTGACATGCTTTTGAACTGCTAGGTTGGCAGGAGCAGGGACTGAGCAACGGGAGCTCACCCCATCACGGGGATTCAAACCGCCAACCTTCCGATTGGCAAGCCCTAGGCTCAGTGGTTTAGACCACAGCACCACCCACATCCAAATACATATATGGTTATTTATAACCGACTATATTTTTTATAAATGTGTTCCAAATATCATTATGCTCATCCATACAAAGTCTACAACTGCTCTACCTTACTAAGCTGGGCACACTGTAAATGACTGAACTGAAAACTGCTTCAAATGTCAGAGTATTTCCTCCAGAACCTAAAGACTTTGGTATCTAGGATGCTGCCATAGGAATAACTGGTTGCTGCTCAGCATTTTTGTATCGCCGGAAAAACTGCTACTAAAATATCTTACCACACTGGAAACTCTGACTTTCTTTTTTTATAGCATCCTTGGCAAATGTACCACAAACTGTTCCAAATGTCAAACGTGAAGTACACTCTGACAACAGTGTCTTAATCCGGGGGTGGTGTAAAAAGAAGCCATGTTAAACTTCCTTGTGTGTGTGTTGTGTACAAACAAGTCCTTTCTACATTGTGTATTCTAGTGTGACTCTATTTTAACTTTTATCCTCTCTCCACTGAATTATTCTATGTGTCAGACAACCCTAGCCTCTCTCAATATGATTATTTCTGTGGGTGGGTGTGTAGTGACATGCTATTGTTGGATTGTGTCCAAAACTGCTCCAAGTTTTTGAGTACAACTCCTGCTCTGCCCTGGGACCCAAAGACCGGTACAGTATCCAGGGAGCTGTCTTGTTCTGCATTGTTTATATTCAGATGAACTATGGAGATCATTGTCTTAAAATGACTTCCATGCACACTATTGAGAAATGTAGGTACTTGACACTGTTCCCAAATGCCAAAAATGAAACGTGTATCTTGGGGTGACAGTGAACTCCATCAACCAGATTTTCTAGATATTCTGGACTACAATGGAATATCACGGGAGTTGTAAAGAGGCCAATAAACTCTCTTTTCCTCTGGGCCAGACCTACGCCCTTAAGTACAATGAGGCTGCTCCCTCAGGCAGATGATTTTGGTTCTCTGAATTGTTGCCCACATTAAGTTGTGAATGTTATTTGGATTTTTCTGCCTCTGGCATTAAAATATATGTGGCTTACCCATGGATGTAGGAGAAAACATGAGAAGTTTCTTGGTAAAAAATATACACACACCCTTAAAAAAAATCTCATTTGGGTTTAAAGCAATAAAGTGCATCTTTAGAAATGTTAACCACGGCCGGTTTACATTTAGGAATGCTTACAGATAGCACCTTGAGCCATAACCAAAGAAAGCTTAGGAAATCCTGAAATAGAAAAGTTTGTGGATTTCAAATTGCTAGAAATGAAATGGATAGGGGTTTAAATTATTTAATTTCCATATGTTTGGGAGGTCTAAACAGAAACTGCATTTTGCAAAGGGTAATTAAAGGTAAAGGTACCCCTGACCGTTAGGTCCAGTCGTGGATGACTCTGGGGCTGCGGTGCTCATCTCGCTCTATAGGCCGAGGGAGCTGGCGTTTGTCCGCAGACAGCTTCCAGGTCATGTGGCCAGCATGACTAAGCCGCTTCTGGCGAACCAGAGCAGCACACGGAAACACCGTTTACCTTCCCGCTGGAGTGGTACCTATTAATCTACTTGCACTTTGATGTGCTTTTGAACTGCTAGGTGGGCAGGAGCTGGGACCAAGCAACGGGAGCTCACCCCGTCGCAGAGATTTGAACTGCCGACCTTCTGATCGGCAAGCCCTAGGCTCTGTAGTTTAGACCACAGCGGAAGCTGTGTCAGACATTTGGCTTCCAGAAAACGTTAAAAAACCAGAGCATTTACTTCTGGGTTTTTGGCATTCGGGAGCTGAAAAATTCCAAAACGGAGGTGTTCAGGAGCCAAGGTTTGACTGTAATAAATACATCTCTGTTCCTAAGATTTGACTTGGAAGAGATTAAGAAGGCTAAAACTGATGGGAAGGATTATTTCTACAACCAGACTCCTTTCTAAGCAGATTATTTTCCTCACTGGAAAATGGCTCCTCTGAGTCTGCGTCCATGGTGTTTCCTTCCCACTGCTGTAGAGTTTATGAATTGCCTGAGTAATTTGCTACAGAAAGCTCCGAGAGCAGTTCTAAATATCATCATCATCAAACCTTTTATTGGCATCACATACAAACATCCTGTCTCCATTACCGAAGTTATAAGTTTAATTGACCAAATGAAACCAGGAAAGGCTGCCGGCCCTGATGCCATTCCATCTGAATTGATCAAAGCTAAGTCAGAGTGGTGGGCTCCAATACTAGCGGAATTGTTCACTATGATAGATAGATTTGGTATTATGCCTAACTCATGGCAGCAATCTATAATGATTCCAATCTTTAAAAAGGGTGATAAAAAGCTGCCGTCCAACTATAAGTCTATTGCGTGGCGAGTTCCCGTCTCCCACCAGTAGAAATAAAGACACAGGACACCGATGTTTAGGTTAATGGGCTAAAATTGGCCACAACTTTATTGGTTACAGGTGATGAGCAGTATTGGCTTAGGCATTGGTCCTAATCGGCTGTCCGGCTTCAGTCTGTCTGCCTGAAGGCCGGGAAGGGTTAACACCAGCAGGGGGAGCCCTGCTGATACACATCAACTAGGCACTCCCCCAGGGGTCACAGCTCGGGGGCGTGCCTTGGGTCCTGGCCTCCATAGGCTTCGGACGGGGCCATGCCCCCCGGAATCCTTTACCAGACTACCCTTCAATATTTGGGGGAGGTGATGGCGCTCCCCCCCCATTCATCTACATAACAATACCCCTACCAATGCCTAACCGCTAAACCGAGGAAGTTGTGACAATTTGCTACGAGGTAGGAGAAAAAACCAAGTGGCTGGTGCCAATTTGCCAAGTGGAAAAATTCCTACCAGGCTCCTTAACGGCGACCAACTGAGGTCCATAACAAGGTCAAAGGAGAAACCTTGAAGGGTGGGTGGGTGGGAAATTCACCCAGCTGAGCAGCATCGAAAGATGCGGCAAGCCACACACCCCGAGCCAGCTGATTGGCTGGCCAGGGGGATGACGCAGCAGAGGATTCCCCTGATCGCGCGGGGCTGGGAGCCAGCCTCCGCGTGGGTGTTGGAGGCGTGAAGTCCGCAACACCACCTCCTCCCGAGGTCGGAAGTGGCTTTATCAAACATTGGGAAATTGTAAACATCTGTTAAATAAACTAACTACTTGGCTTAACTCTGGACATCATAGGTCCAGAGGAGGCAGGGTTTAGGCCAGGGAAATCCACATTACGCAATTGCATGGTGTTAGCCCATTTAGCCACTAAGTACATGCGGCTCCACAAAGAACGTCTCTATGTGGCCTTCCTAGATTATTATGGCTGCTTTTGACACTGTTGACAGGGGGCTGTCATGGACCAAACTGGAGACAATGGGCCTAGAACCCAGATTACTTTACTTGATCAAAAAGCTTTAGTTCTAAATATTCTAGAGGCAGCCTGCACTACAGATACGGTGTGGAGAGTTCAGAGAGCAAATGCATCATCATTGAGTCTGTATCCTCCTACAAGTGTCATGAACTATAGAGGATTGCTTAAATCAGTTGTGCATGGAAACATGGAAAAAGCAAGAACAGGCATGTGAAGAACCTCTGCAGAAATCTGCCTTTAACAAGAACAAATGGATTCTTGCCCAGTGTTGCATCAGAACTGACCCGTGAGTGAGTCACAGACAGACTTTAATAGCCTTCCAGTAACGGCTTATTGACATCTAGATGCGACCAGAGATAAATGAATAGTTGGAGGTACCTTTTCTTATTGACCATGCAAACACTTTTGTTGCAACCATTTCACTTCTGGCAAAATACGTTCTATTCCTATTGTTGTTGCTATCTGTTTGTCTCAAGAGACAGTTGACTG